CAATCACAGGGGATACGATCCATTATCTATCTAGACGACATCCTGATAATGGCTCAGTCCCCAAATCTGCTCTGCCAACATACAGATATGACAACCGCCTTGTTACAAAACTTAGGATTTGTCATAAACTTTCAGAAATCGGCTTTGGAACCTTCACAAACAGTCCAATTCCTTGGATTTCTAATAGACTCCATTCAAGCGAACTTGCTATTGCAGGTCACAAAAATAAAGTCCATAAAGAGAGACATCCGCAAACTACTCTCATCCCAACACATTCGCTTACGCGACCTGGCACATACCATAGGCCTTTTGTCAGCATCCATCCAAGCTATTTACCCAGGGCCTTTACACTACCAAGCCATGCAGCGGCTCAAAACGTACTATCTACATCAGTCCACTTCATACGATCAGTTGATCTCCCTCACAGTCGAAGTTCGCATAGAACTTCACTGGTGGCTCCACAACATGGAAGCTTAGAATGGCAAAGCCATCTTCGGATCCCAACCAGACTTTGTCCTTGAATTCCATGCCAGCCTCCTAGGTTGGGGCACCACGTGTTCAGAAAAGTCCACTGGGGGACTATGGTCCCCCTCAGAATAAGCCCTACACATCAACTGTCTGGAGCTAATAGCAGGATCCTTTGCAATATGCAGTTTCGCAAAAGACTTCAACTGCTCACTAGTATTACACATGAACAATGTCTCGGCAGTAAGCTATGTGAACCAGTTGAGAGGATCCCGATCCAAATTGCTATCTGACCTCACAAAGGACCTCTACCAGTTCTGCCTCGAGAGGAATTTATCCATACGGGCAGAATACCTGCCGGGGACAGACAATCTAGTTGCAGATTGGTTCTCCCGCCATTGGAGAGACGTCAGCGACTGGCAGCTCAAACCTCACCAGATTCAGGGTCTTTGAGGACCCCTCTCGCTAGACCTTTTTTTGCATCCCAGCTGAACCGTCAGACAGAGGCCTTCTTCAGTTGGCTTCCAGACCCCCTATCCTGGGCAGTTGATGCCTTTTTACACCTGTGGCCAAAGACAGGAGCATACGCGTTCCCGCCTTTCTCCATGATACAACGCACCCTTTACCGGGTCAATACTCTGGGAGGGACGATAGTCATTGTAACTCCATTATGGAGGGCCCAGACCTGGTTTCCAACGCTCCTGGAACTCTCCGATTCTACTGCCCCAGTGCCACAACATTCTCAGGAACCCAGCGGGGGACTGTCATCCCCTTGCTCTTCAGGAGAGACTCCAGCTAGTTGCCTGGACCATTTCAGGGGATCCTGGAATGTGTCAGGACTTTCGACAACAGCTCAGACACTCATATGGGACTCCTGGTCATCAGGCACCAGACGTGCCTACCTTTCCGCATGGCAGACATGGGTCAGCTGGTGTTTGGAAAGGGATTTCGATCCCTTTTCAGCATCTCTCAAAGCCATTCTGAACTTCTTATCCACCTTATTTGATCAGGGCAAATCCTATAGATCGATCAATGTTTTTCGATTTCGGCAGCTCACAACTCTATTGACAACGCTTCCTTAGGTAAACAACCCTCTGTCTGTAGACTCTTGAGAGAAATTTATCTGGCTCGACCACCCCAGCCAAGGTATTCCTCCTTTTGGGATGTCACCCAAGTCTTCGACTCCCTCCCAACGAAGCTCTGACTCTTTGACAACTTTCGGCCAAACTAGCATTACTTCTATGCCTAGTCTCCTTTCGTAGAGTTTCGGATATACGAGCATTTGACTTTCATGCTGTAAGTTTTACACCTGAAGGGGTCAAATTTAACATCACCAGGCGCACTAAAATGAATTCTTCTTCAGTTTTCTATCCTTATTTTCCGTACAGGACGGCTTTATGTGTAGCCTGTTGTCTCCAAAACTACATGGACTCAACGGCTACCTTGCGCCCTCCTACTGGGCCTCTTCTGGCTTCCTATGTCAAACCACACAAACCGGTCTCCACTCCTACTGTCGCACAATGGATCAAATGGATCCTCGTCCAAGCAGGCATCAACCCCTCCTTTGAAGCCCACTCAGTCAGAGGTGCAGCCGCATCCTCGGCCTTCCGGGCAGGTAGTTCCCTGTCATATATCTTAGCTTTTGCGGATTGATCCAGAGAATCGACCTTTCGAACCTTTTACTCTAAACCCATGCCACATGCTGTATCTTCTATTATATAGGAGCGTTAAAACAGAAAATATGAAGCCTCCTGTCTTGCCACAAAATTAGGGATTATTCTAGCCTTAGTGACTGAATAATCTAAATTTTATTAACGACAGGAGGCGAATATTTTCCAACCCGTTTGTTAACTATCCCACCCGTCGAGGTAAGTTTAACTACACTAAACCATACATCTCCATAAGACATTATCACATCATATGGCATGGGTAACACACAGGTTGCATGAGACAATTACACCTTCAATTATGACAGTTTGAACTATCTCTAGTCAATGTACACCTTAAGGAGTTGCAAACTGCTCTTCAGATACAAGAACCAATACTTTCATGATTCTTCTCTATTCCCTTCTAGTGTGAATAATCCAGTAATTCACAGTTTCGTTTACATGGTTGGCCAACGCACAGGACTTACTGTTTGTACATAGTTTCAAAGTTTATTGTTTACACGGTTGATCTACACCACACTCGGCTACAGAAAGAAAGAGGAATTGGGAGGAGATTGATGACACTATATTCTATGCTTGTACACTCTGATTGGTTAATGTTTTTTTACATCATTGTTAACCATTTCTTTGCTGCTGGGAGGTTGAGTAAAGAAAGATAAGCAAATATTTGCCTCCTGTCGTTAATAAAATTTAGATTATTCAGTCGCTAAGGCAAGAATAATTCCTAATTATCTCCCAGACACTAGAGGTACAAAGTATAAAACATAAAATACATATAACACATATAGGAACCCCCACAAATATATCACTGGATAGCCTGGATCTAAACGCTCAACATATCCAACTAGCACTCAGATCCCACGAATACAGCCAAATTGCCACCGTGGTAAAGTTTCCATTGACCGCACACGTGGCGTCTGCCCAAATCAGTTCCAGAGAATCAGGGATAGCAGTTGGTCACCTTTGCGATTTCCCAAACGAACAAAAAGTCGAACGGTTCCCCTGGCTCATAGGTAGCAATTGTTCGCCTTGTTCGTGCGAACAATCCTACCAAACAGAGCTCTCCTGGCTTGTCGAAGAAAGAAGCAGGCGTTCGTACCAAATCACCGGTGTTCGCGGGGTTTAATGTCCACTTTACAGTTCCAGACACTCAACGAATTCATCTGCACATAAAAATGTGGTTAATGGTATTTACCGTCCTGACAGGAAAAGTTGTGCCGAGCAGCATTAACGTCCTGACAGGAAAAGTTGTGCCAAGCAGCAATCATGCACATGGAAACCTGGTAATTACTTTTGGGGTCAAAGGCCGGTTACGGCCAGTCGGATCCACAGGAGAGGTATTTAAACCCAATTCTCCTTTTGCTCATTGCCCTGTCGTGGTTTCATCCTGATGGTAATCTGAGAGTGCATTTCTGATCTTGATTTTCTGTATTTGACTTTGGCTTTGTTTTGACTTTCCTGAATTCTGGTATCCTTGACTTTTAGCTTTGGGACGGATTCTGTGTTCCTGACCTTGGCAAGTATTTTGACTATTCTTTGATACGTTAAGTCGGCCACTCTAAGGTCCGGTTATACGTTATCCTTAGTTCTAGGTGTGACACAGTTCTGCATGCTGAATCAACTTGTAATCTTGACACTAGGTACCACTGCCTGCTTTTCAGAGACCAGATGGCACACAGCGAGTGTTAAGTTTGTGGTTTCTTTGAAGTTAAATGAGGCAGGGGGGTGGTCAGTGTTCGGTAGATTAGTCTACTGAATGCACGAAAAAAAATAATTGGGACAAAGAAATATGGGGTTTTGTCATAACAAAGTTGCCAAAAAATCTCCAAGGATCACAGCTGGAGAATTGCATAAGTTATCGCAACGATGCTTTTACACATAAATAACGAAGGATATTAGCAAAATTGCAATAGCTATGTATATGAGTTATCGGGGCTATTTGAGCCGTAAGTGATGTACGATCTCGGCAGCAAATGCAGCTTGGGCACTATCATTTAGCTTGTTTGCAGAGGCTATTTTCTTTTCTTTTCTATTTAAGGAGAGGGAAGTCAACTCTTATTAATTACACTAAGCTCTTGGTGTCTAGATCCTATTTAGGATCACACCCCAGTAACATTGGTCAATAACGAACTGCAGTATTTGACACATCAAGGCTTGTGGGAATTATTTTAGTATATAATCACTATATTTATTCATATTACGATTTGTGTTTTTTTTTTTTTATTTATTTAGTTGGTGTGGTATATATAGCCCCTTTTTCTTTAAAGTGATTTATTAAAAGTCATGTTTTAGGATATATATATTTTTTCTATTATTGTAATACAGTCAGATTAAAGTTATACCCTGGTCATACTATTTAATTAACTGCTACCTCCAATTTTCTTTGTTTTTCTTTATATTTAAATAGGGGTTATCCCCCATATGGAGGTACCAGTTAGATAAGGCTCCCTTTCTCTTTCTTTTATTTTCTTTTTCTATTTCAATTAATATATCCAAACAGCGCTCAGATCCACCAAACACAGTCAAATCGCCATGGGGTTTAAGTCTAGCATGGGCTGATGAGAGGGTCCATAGTCACAGGGCAGGAGGCTGGCAATCAGTCTTCTCCAATGCCCAGTGGCGAGGCTGGTTCCGCCACAGAGTGGTATCAAGTTAAGAGTTTATATTAAAGCCATTTGTTAACTGTAAAACATAATATTTAACCCCTTAAGGACACATGACATGTCATGATTCCCTTTTATTCCAGAAGTTTGGTCCTTAACGGGTTAATGATATTTGTGGACATAAGAGCTCTAAACTTAGACTTGTGATAATCCTGACTGCAAATGTTTAGTTATTTCTATAGTGAAAACAAATGTATAAAATATTCCTATATATTTTTAATCAATGCACGGGAAGGACAGAAAATTAACCAATTCTCACAGAGTATTTTTAAAACAACACAGTCTGAATTTATATAAATGCATTTATTACAGTTTGTAAAGCATAGAAGAAGGTGATTGGCATTAGAAAATAAAAATATATATACAGGAAATGTTTTTGTGTTTCATGTAACATAACATAAGTTATACATGTTTAGCAATAGTGATATAACTGAGACATACAGCACATTCACAAATATATCCTGAATACACATGGCAGCTAGCATGTCTGGGACAATCAATGTTTAAATTATGGAGAAAAAAATGCTTTAATTTTTTTACTTGTACTATATGTAATTTTTTGCAAATTTTTCATATATCGCAAAATTGATAGGAGCCGCACTCAATCCCAGCAGTCACCCGGTGCTCTGAAGCAGGACCAGCAATCCCACAACCATAAGGCAACCCAAGAAATTCTCTAGGCACTCAAGTTGTTCAAGCCGCAGGCAGTTTTAATAGAGCAATTGGAGCAGCCACGTTTCGACCTGCTAAGAGGTCTTTGTCAAACTTGACACACAAGGAGAGATTTATTAAAGTGTTGTATTATGAAACAAGTGCAAAGTACTAAAGGAGGAGCAATCACAGAAAAAAAACGTGTAAACAGCAAATTCCACTGGTGACTCATCCCCTTTTATATCATGCGCCACTTTTCAGAACAAGACACTGTGATAAACCTCACCCCACACTTTTTCCAAAGGAGCACATTGGCCATTGAGGAAAAAAAAGAAAAGCATCGTTAATACTGTGATCATTCTTTGCGGCAACCTGTATGTCTCCAACACACAAAAATGATTTGCATATTGTTGCATCAAAAGTATTTTTTTATGGTCACGGTGAGTTGGAGAGACACTGACATATTTGTCTTTAAAGCATTTCAAGCATAATCTATATAGAAATGTAAAACTATAAGTTTTTCAGGAAACATAATACTTGACGATGATGTACTGCAAAGGAAAACTATATGCTACTGAAACGCGAACCAATCATAGAAACCTCTAAAGAAATAATACAAATATATACTTTCTATGATTGATGCAGTGTGTTTTTAAATGGAATGACCATGTTACTTCCAAAACATAAACAGAGTTTTAGAAAACATTTTTGAAAAAGAATATATTTAAAAACACATTTGTAAGATAATGTAACAATATCTAAAATAGTGCAAAAGTTGCATTATATTTCTGAAAGAAAAAAAAAAATCATAAAAGTTCAGAAATGTTTGACTTCATTTGTAGAATAACTATTTTAAAAACAATCTCTGTATTTATCATTTTAATCTTTTAAATCTCATCAAGGTGAGAAGTATTTTGTGGACAAATGTAGAATTATAGATGCCTTATAATATGCAATAAGGCACAGTGTTAGAAAATAAAATACTAAATATTTATTTTACAAACCAGTAGCTGCTAAACATTAAAGGAATATCTCAGAATACTGTAACATGGCAAATAACTATATATATTTGCACCTACTCACACAAAATATCATAGGCATCATTTTGGTTATTTGACATTTTTATAAAAGTATAATACTCAAACTTGTAACAAACGTACAGAATTATTTACTAAAGAGTGATTGGCAAGGAGTTAAACACGTGCACCATAATATACAAGCTAAGAAGCAAACTTAAGATATGTATTATATTTGATAAATGTACTTTTTCTTGATTTCACAAGCGCAACATGTAGATTTAATTTTTTTCTGAAAAGGATATGGTCATTCATAGGAGTATGAATGACGTGCTAAGGTGGCTTTTAAAAGAAGAGTAAAAGAATACAATAATGCATATAGAATTTGTGTGTGGGCTTTGGTGGAAGAGCAAATAGTCAGCCAGGGAAATGGTTATGATATTTTCAAAATGAGGAGGTCATCAAATTTAAAACTAGTCCATCCACGGAATTATAACAGAAAGGTAAAATGTATGTGATGTGAATGCCTAGTTGTAGGGGTTAGCAACGTTTTTCTGCATGAGGGCCATTTGTAAATGGATGGAGGGCCGCCTTCATCTAGATCTTTAAAAAAAAAAAAAAAAAAAGAGAGCAGATGACTCCCTTTAAAGGATATCAAATTAGGAAGCCGTTTAGTATTATCTTACTTTTTTGTAGCTAACATAGATAGTACCTGCTAGACCTATGCACAGAGTAAATTTGAATTTTCAGAGTGAATTTTGACGAAAATAAAATGTTGTTTTGTCCGAACCTAATTTAGCTCATTAGTCGATTTAGTTTCTGATAAAATTCATCCGATTTTTTTGGTTCGGAATTTGCATTCTGATGAATGAAATGGTGCAATCGCCAACACACATTTGTTGGCGTGTAGGAGAAGTGCAAGAACACCACAGTAAGTACACAGCACCATCGTTGCCCATTCATCCCAACCAGACCAGCATATTGGGGCACAGTAGGCAGCTGATATGTGACACACAAAAGATATGGGCCATTACTTAATAATTTGATTTAGGAACACCTATAGAAAATATGTACCTACTCTGCCATAGTAAAAAAAAAGAAAAAATTGCACCCTTCTGGTGGTTTCCTGGCTCAGGCCAGATGCCCATGATTTTATCCTGAGGACTTGCACATCTGAAAATTGAAGGGAGGTGGCAAGCTGTATGTTGCCAACTCCTTGACTAGTATATTTTATGAGACTAATATAAGTGTTGTACAAAGATTAACGTTGGAAAATGAGCTCAATAAAAGTCATGGTTTAACCTGACTCTAGTGAAATATGATGGAAAATAGGGTTTCATGATTTGATTAAGGAACACTTATAGAAAAAAGAAAATCAAAACACAATTAACCATTGTATTGGTTAAAATAAAGCCATTAAGTATGTCTACTTATAGATGCTGTTGAAACCATATATTTATTTGGCATCTGTGCCAAATGTATGTAATATATATATATATATATTTGTGTGTGTATGTAAGAAGGTACAGCTGACATTTAGAAGGGTTGAAGAAAAACTTTTTCTTTTTTTTCTGATTTATTGCAGTAGCACATGTGAAATGGAAAATAATAAAATACTTCTGGATAAGGCACCAGTAAACCCTAAACTTCATTTGAACACGGACCCATCTTCCCTGAACATTATATAGTAGATGTAGTTATGAATATAAGTCTTGCAGAAAATATTAGATCTGCAATGTAAGTAAGAAGATTAAAGGCTGTTAGGACAGTAATAGCTACCCTTCTATCATAATTACAGATCTTATAGTTATGTCCACAATCACCTGTTTTATGTGAGTTACCAAACTTCCTGTCAAAATGGTAGAGGGGCCAGATTACCATGGCAGTGGCATAAAGGAGGAGTGATAAAAGGGCATAACCACTTAGGAACTTGTTAAACGCACAGGGCAACCAACCAGTGCACTCCCCAATGCAGAGAATTATTATCAGTACCGAAAGAATGAAGCATATACAATAAACTGCCAAGCACCATTTGAGAGCATCATATTGGGTGTACTGAGGTGGGTCAGCAATGAACACAAATATAATGCATGCAACGAACGACTCAATAACTTTCAAAAGTCCAGGGACAGTAGCCATATATCCAGTAACTTCTCCAGGCCTTGCTCTGGTTAAAGATACTTCAATGATGTAAGCTAATGTTGTTAGACAAGAAAATACAATTGCTACAATCTGGTATGTCCGTAGTTCGTCATGGTACCCTTTGCTCACAAGAAAGTTAACTGAATATATAATGGTAGCAGCGAGGCACATAAGAACAGCAAACATTGCAAAGGTAATGGGGAAGTTTCTCCATGACACTGGCATTCGACTTTGCACACCAGCAAACTCCACAATAAGTATTATTGTGGTAACAGCAAAGCAAAAGCACCAGGCGAACATACACAGGTCCCCGATACTCCCATTCCAAGCCGATTTGTGTGCAATCAAGCTGAAGGTCACACAGGCACAGATTGCTGCAAGAATGCGAACAATGCCAACAGGAGATCTTAATGTGTTGGTGTTGGTCACAATGATTGTTCTATGTTGGACTGGCATGGTGTAGTTACCTGTCAAAGAGAGAGAACATTTTTCAAAAATTACTGAAGTTAACACATTAAAGAACTATTTAAAACACATTAAGAAAACAATACAGCTATAAATACATTTAAATCTTTTGAATTCACTGAAACCCATATTACTGTTGTTGATTCAAAATGTCTGATCTTGCCACAACTTTGTATTCCTAGCACTATAGTTTCCTTTTAAGTGAATGAGTTCAAGTTTTGATAGCCTTTATTCTTAAAGCGACACGGTCACCATCTGGGGACATTACAGAATTTGCAAAGAACCCCAACAACCATATCGCTGCTACGGGTCCGCTCAGTGGCGGATCCAGAGACTGATCTCGGGAGGGGCACTTTTATATTATTTAAAGAAATAATCCATGCACAATAACCACTACAGCTCTGTTATGGTGCCCCCTACCAGAGTAAGTAGTCAAACCATTTAAGAACAGTTTGGAAACTTACCTGGGATCTGCTGGGATGTGGGGCTGTAGTAGGGCATAGGAGCAGTGGTGTAATGTGACGGGTGCAGTGCGTGAATGTGTGGGGCAATGTGTTTGTGGGGGGCTCTGTATGTATGTGTGGAGAAATGTGTGTGTGTGTGGTGCAATGTGTGAATGTGTATGGTGTGTGTTTGGGGGACAGTGTATGTGTATGGGGGACTGTATGTGTGTGGGGGAGTGTGTATGGGTGGGCAGTGTATATGTGTGTGGGGCAGTGTGTTTGTATGTGTAGGGGCAGTGTGTGTATGGGGGGCAGTCTATATGTGTGTATGGGAGGGCAATGTGTGAATTTGTGGTGAGGCGGGTAGGGGGGCTTTTTGATAAAAAAAATATAAAGAATTTATAAAATTAAATACATTTATTTCTGGATCCCTGGTGGTCCGGTGGGGAATCCGAGTGGTCCCAGTGGTTAGAGTGAATTCTAGCCCGTAGCTCCAGGGCTAGAGTTCACTTTCGCGAGATTTGGAGCGTTGCTCATGGTAACCTGCAGGCTGAGCTCCCGGGTCCTGTCTCCATCCCTCCCCTGCCGGCTGCCAGCACGGTGCCTGCTGACCAACAAGGGAGATTTCTGATCTCCCTCCCCAGTCTGCAGGCACATTGCAGAGCTGGCACTTGAACAATGCCAGCCCTGCATTATCCGGCAGGGGAGGAACTCTGAGGGGGGGGGCAATTGCCCCGTTGCCCCCACTGGATCCGCCAGTGGGTCCACTGGCTAGGAGGGTGGGGGGCAGGGAATGCCAGATCTACTTACCTGAACCTGTCCCTCATGGTCACCACAATCCTCTCCAGTTGTGTCCTCTTCAGCTCCTGAAGCTTCAGAGAGATGCGCATGTGTAAGAGTACACCATTGAGACCAATTTCCCTGTAGTCGTCATTGGTGTATTTTATTCTAATATAGTCAATATGCACTTAATCCACACGATGAATAAGTGAGTGATTAAGTGCAAATCTGGAAATAGATTAGGTATCCTATAGAGTGTAATATGCACAGTAATATATAAAGGTATGGTATAGAAGAGATAGTCCGTCAGGGTATACGGTATAGTGATAGAAATAAAAAAGTAAAAATACTAGCCTTGTGAGCTACTCCAATATCAGCTAGAACCCGACGTGCGTTTCGGTGCACCTTTGTCAGGTTCCCCTGACGAAGGTGCACCTAAGATTGCACCGAAGCACGCGTTGGGTTCAGGACGGATTTTGGGCACTCATCACTTTGCACCTGGTGATATCTATATGAATATAGACATGATTTTTTAACTTCACCATTATACTTTCTGACTCCTTTGTCAAGCTAGTTTACCAGGGAGAGAGATTTACTGTTGCTCTGTCACTTCTTATTACTACTCTTTTACCTTACTGCTATCTAATTATACATCTATATACTGCTTACCTCCTGGATATCATTTTATCTCATATAGGAGACTGAAGCAATGGTTCTCAGCAGTGTACAAGTTTAACTGACGTGGTTTTCCCATGTGTACAGGGATTATTTAACCACCTCCACCCTGGTTTCCTTTGCTAGCAATGTTAGTAGGGAGATTGGCTGAATATATATATGCTATTAGGCCTGCACATTAAAGCCCTTTACACTTAAGCATAATACATTTCTAGATAAACTTTTATTCTGCACTTATTCATAACATTCCAGACCAATTTGTTGTTTGTAAATATAAACATTGGAGTGTTTCAGATGTTACCTATACACATGATCTATTTGGTTGTTATTCTTCCTTCCTTCCACCTATTTGTATTCAGCAATGTCTCACGTGTAAAACAGTATCCCCTATGTACAGGTTTTATGGTGTTTTGAGAAGTTACAGGGTCAAATAGAGCATGCTACATTTTTCAGTTTTTTCACATTGAAATTCGCCAGATTGGTAACGTTGCCTTTGAGACCATATGGTAGCCCAGGAATGAGAATTACCCCCATGATTGCATACCATTTGCAATAGTAGACAACCCAAGGTATTGCAAATGGGGTATGTCATTAAATTAATGCAAACTATGGCCAGTGTTTGTGACCAAGTGGCTACTAAAAAAGACTGGCCCCCTGACTACCTGTCATTCCAGGCACTCCCCCTGCTGGCACTGCTATGGACGGCTATTCCGTCCATGTGATCGTGAGGTCCTCACAAGGACCTCGCGATCACAAGGCCCAGGAGGGCCAGATCGGCAGCAGGGGGACTCCCTGGGATGGCAGGTAAGTTCCCCCCATCATGATCGCCGGCGTGGGATCGTCAGCGAGCAGGTAAGTACATTGGACGGCGTTGACATGCTATGCCACCCGCCGGCGTTTAGAGCTGGGTCCCCGGCATGGGATCTAATCCAGAACTAGTGATTTGTAGTGTGGCCCCTTATTTAGGTAGCTAGAACCCAAAACATGCAAAAAACGCTGATACTGACGTCGTGGGATGTCATCTGTGTCACGATGTCGGAGCACACATGGAGCATCCTAAAAGGGGGTGGAGTTATAGCAGCCTGCGTTTGCAACACTGGAGAAGTAGCACATCTCAAGTTTACAAAATAAGCCACTAAATTGCAATGTGCATGTAAAATAATGTGAAATTAAAACAACACCATAAATTTGAAAAGAAATTAGTTAAAAATAGCTGTACACAAGGTTTAAACTGCGTAACAAGAAATCACGGGGGCCCCGGTGTGAAAATTGCACTGGGATTCAACCCACCCCCCAGCTACTCTGTATGTCACATTCACGCCCCACAGGGTGATTGTGGCATGGTTGGGGGGATGAGTATAACAGAATAGGGAGGGGTTAATGTGATTGGGCGAGTGTGGTAGGGTGAAAGAAGGAGAGTGTGAGAGTGATGGAGAAGGAGTATGACAGGGTTGGGGGACGGGGGGTGAGCATTACAGTGAGAGGTGAGTGTTAGTATGGCAGAGCGATATGAGGTATGGCATGGGTGAATGACGGGATTGGCAGAGTTATTGTAAGTGTGGCAGGGTGCAGGGGGGTGACCGTGTGTGTGGGGGTGAGAGATACACAGACATACAGGTGCATACACTAACACATATGCAGATAAACAGAAAAACACACACACTGACATACAAACCATATAACACATACACTGATACAGACATACCGATACACAGGCACACACAGATACACACACTGACACACGTGCAAATAGACAGACACACAAACTAACACACATACAGTTACACATAATGACACTCCTACAGTTACAAACACTGACACATATACAGATACACATACAGACACACATGCAAACTGTACTTTAGTCACCCTCCTGTTTCCTACCCTTTAGGTGCAGGAGGGTGACTTTCCTGGGGACGAGTGGCTGGCTCAGGCTGATGGGAGACAGAGCTCTCATTCTGACCCCCACCCATTCCTCCTCGTCCTGTGCGGCGCTCTCCTCTTCCTCTAACCGCAGGGCTCTGTTAGCTGGGAGGAAGTGACAGCTCACTTCCTCCCAAGCTGACATCATGACAACGGGGCCCACTTAAAGTGCAGCAGCGCTGACCAGGCCCCTGAAAATACATTGCATCGGGTGGCCCTAAGAGCAATGGCCACCCAATGCACAGCCCCTGTGGTAGTACCGCCTGTGCCACAACCCATTGTCAGCGGGCACCCGTTTGCAGGGATTGGCAGGGTGGCTGGCCTGCCTGGAGTGATAGGCCCAATCACAGCTGCGACCACGGTAGGTACACCACTGCATATAAACATACCTCGTGGTGTGTACTTTGCTAAATAGCATGCATCTATGGGATCATTTGAACTTTCAAACTGCTACGAAGCCCTGCTATGAAGATATAGGCAAATCAAATTCATCTATCAAAATTCACACTGTAGCACACATCAGGCTTACAAAACACACATAAAGTGTTATATGAAATCCCAAAATTTGACCGAACTCAAAAGGACTTCAAAAAATTGTGTTCTATGTGTATGTACACAGAAACACAATTTTGCTACATTATATTTAGCGGAGATTGGCAGTCAAATGCTTCGGTAATTGCCCTGTGATGTCTAGTTAATATAAATATACGTGTGACAATTTTGTTTTCTGTAATGGTTAATAAACCTAGAAGAAAAGCCATACTGAATGCTAGAATCATCCCACATTTAAATTGTATTTTACTTTATGGCCTGTAAGTAACAGAAAATAAACTGAAATTCTATTTGATTTACTCTGTAAATCAGGACAAATAAATTACTGTACTTTAAATTACTTTTCTAAAGCTTTTTTTTTTTTGCATGTGTTTTTTTTTCAACTAGTACAATAATTGATGATGTATATATAGCTACATGTCACATCAAATTTAACCCCTTTTTGTCCTTCAAATTTAAAAAAATAAATATATATATATATATTACTATGCATTGGTGCGATAAATGAGAGATGTAAATTGCAGTTGACAACACACACACATAAAAAAATAAAAAAAATAAATAAATATTTAGTTCTTTAATACTAAACAAGCAAACTAAAGCTTGGTCCTTAAAGGGTTAAGCAGCATTAGCACAGTACTTGACTTGTTGAGTGTTTGGGAACAGAGCCAGTGCTTGCTTGAAGCGACCTTATATGGAAATAAAATTCCACTTAGTGATTTTTTTTTAAGTCATTGGTTAAGGATTCCCTTCATTACAGCCATGTAAACATTATCTCCCAAAGGAAAATTCAAACCGCACCCATTAGCTTCCCCTGTGAAAAATATGCATATAAATGCAAAAATAAATCCTTGTTAAAAACCGTTACAAAAACTACTACATGTGCAAAACAAGTAGCCTTTAACCCCTTAAGGACCAAACTTCTGGAATAAAAGGGAATCATGACATGTCACACATGTGTCCTTAAGGGGTTAAAGGAACCCTATAGTGTCAGGAATTCCTGACACTATAGTTTTGAAAGCACTGTTTAGGCCTACTTACTTTAAAAAGGGGATTTTACTTACCTTTTTTCCCATTACAGTGCCAGTTAATCATAGATGAGCCCACCTTGCTCTGCCTTTGTGGCTGAGATGATTAAACTTGATGATCTCAGTCAATCCAATAGTTTCCCATAGGAAAGCACTGAGAGGCTATTGCATCACTATGGGGAGCCTTCATTGTCTACATGCAGAGCGTGGAGACAGTGACCCAGGAAGCATCTCTAGTAGCCATCTGACTAACTGCCACTGGAGGTGTTCCTAGTCTGGAACGTAAACACTGCCTTTTAAAATATTTTTTATTTTATTTATTTTTTAAGATGTTTGACAAAATCTCAAAGCCTGCCCCTCCTCTTGATGCAATGTAGAAGTTTACATTACCCACACAAAGACATCCAAATGTCAATGGCAACGATAGGATGTGAGTACAGGATGAACCCTCCCAAGAGCTTGCAGCTTATAATTGCTGCCAATGGCCGCAAGTTTATTTATTTTTTTATAAAGGAGCTGAAGCCCAATCTCATCGTATGTGCATCGAATGCTACAGTCATGAAACCACGAACGGAGCTATAAATAAGACTGGGCAGAAGTTCCATTCATATTCTAAATTCCAACACTAAACAGGGACTTATTTTATATGCTTCACCCCTGGGAGGTAAAGTTTTGGGATGGGGTTAGGGGACTGGGTCAGGAACTGGATGGTCCAGTCTGGAGAATGAGAACTGGAAACAGTTAGCCACAAGAGAAGGGGATGTGTATGTTTTACCTGCAAATTACCATTATTAGTATTTCTATAGCACCAACATATTCCGCAGCGCTTTATAATTATAGAATGGGGTACTGGACAATAGGTAATTGACAATTGACAAATATTAAAAGACCAGTGATGAAGAAGGACCTGCTGAACTTACAATCACTCTACTCTGTCCTTCCGCTTTCTGAAATTCTTCATCACAAAAGGCTAGGGAAGCATTGGGCAGTTGACACTCCTAGTCAATCTATAGCTCCCTTATTCATAAAAACCGCTTGAAAAAACGTGTTTTTTTTTCCTGAGCCTCTCAAGACTGCAGCAGTCAATGTGGCAAGTTGGCTAATCGCCATTAGCAAAATTCATTACAGAAACTGCAAACTTTTATGAAGTGTATTGAGCATATGTTTAAAGTGCATTATACGGGGCGGGGCCTGATAGCCAAGATGGCCGGATGTGATTTTTGAAAGCTCCAGCACCAGCAGACACTATCCCACTAATCCTGTCCAAAAAACAGAAGCCAGAAACTTAAGGAGCTTGGAAGGTGACATAGGACCTAGCAGGGAACAGAATGATACCTGTCCCGCGCCGATCTGCACTACAAGAGCCTGAACCGGCCATGAGGCCTAAGACGAAGCGGAGCCTGCAGCATGGGGGAGGTGGCCGATCACCAGGCAAGGGACCCGCTCACAAACGAGAAGCACACAATGCCCTGCTGCCCCCCCCCTGGATCGGCGGGGGTTATCCCAGTCCTCACTGGGGACGATCACCCCCAATCAAGCGACAAAGCCCACAGACAGGCAGAAATGCAGAAATGCCAGGCCCTAACCAAGATGGTGGCTGGGATGCGGCCCGCGAAGGGGAGAGCCCACATCAAGCCACCAATATATACTCTAGAGTTCTTTGACCGGCTTGGTGCAAGCCTCTGGACAGAACTCCATACCAAAGGCCGGATCTTTAAGCTAGCGTTGAAACAAGCAGCGTCATGGATTCGCCCTACAATCCAACGCCAACTATGCAGATACCTGCCCACAGCTCCCAGGGTGGTCTCCCGGAGGAGAAACAGAGAACCCGGTTGGCAGACAAAATTGATTTACCCCCCGGGCACCAGAACCCGCTCGAGCACACACCAATGGGGGAACACCCACCTCGCCTGACCCGCTCGCCACCCTACTGCGTCTGAAACCACCGACCATCATGCGGAACTCGCCACCTCCCAGGCTCAGGCTCGGGAAGGTGGGAGCAATCGGAGCGGCGAACATCCCACATGGGCTTTGGAAAGGACCCGACGAGAGGGAACAGAAAAAGTCACTGGCCACCACATTAACCGGGAGGCTACCAAAACTCACCCCCCAAACGACACACAGAGAATCAGCAGGGGCACTGGGACTGTACCCACAATGGGCTCACGCACCCTGGCCCGAGCGGCACCCACACTACTCCAACGGCCCCACAGAGCGGGCGTCGGCTGATTACAGACCACCCTGGGGACTTAGACCTACATACTTCATATGAGCAAGGGGAAAGGTTTCCTGTGCTGCAACACGAACTCCCAATCCGCTGATTTTTACCGACCTGCCGTCTCCTGCTTCACACCTCACAGGGACGATGGTCGCCATCACCTGCACGGCTGTTGTGCATAACCCTGGACTGCCGAGGACTCTTTCTCATGCAGATAAGCAAAGCTACCAGGGATTCTTATGTTAAATTTATGTTACAATATGTTTTAAGTCATTTAATCCCTGGTTACTGTATTACAACATTACCTAACAAGCGTTGACTTTGGTGAAAGTTTGAAAGTTAGTCATGGTCAATATTAAGTTTAATATTTCAGCTAAGATAACTAACAGAAATGAATACGCTAAGTATACGCCTCAATATTCTTAACCTTGTCTAGCAAATCTGGCTCCGTGCTAATGCACACTAAGCGAGGTCTCTATCATTACCTGTAATATGTTTGCTAGCATATACACTAAAATCGTACCTCTTACATGGAAATAATCTATCCAGTTCTAGCATGTTACTAATTACCACAGTTAACACATGAACCAAATATGTTTGCATAACATATATACCTACATGTAAATCGATACTTTAATGCTATGTTTCTTAAGCCTGATAAAAAAAAAATTGTGCCAGTTAAAAATACACCCCGCCTGCTCACGTGGGAAACTTTTGGGGTACTTCAAGCCTGCCTGTAATATATGCGTGCACTACAAAAATAAAGAATAAAAAAAAAAAAAAAAAAGAAGGGCATTATACAATGCAATACAAATTGTAATTAACAGCAGTCATCTGGTCCAGAACCAGGTAAATACAGGCCTTTCTAAAATGGAACCGCAGGATCTTACCTACATAGACAGAGCCTTAATCCAACAGCCCTCATTAGTGACAGCTGCTGGGATTATAAAAAAGTAGACGGCAGAGCTCTACCTTTTGGCAATCTCAGGCTTTTCCATAAGACAAGTTAGTCCCTACTTTGTCTGATGGTATGTTTGGATTGTATTGAATTTCAGTGAAAGTCCAACACAGTTTTGATGAGTATTTCAGAAAGAATATATATATATATATATATATATATATATATATATATATATATATATATATATATATATATATATATATATATATATATATATATATATGAAGTACTGAATATCCGCTTAATTTATTTTTTTAAGTTCACAATTAGATACATCAGTGTAATATAGAATCATTATCAAATTTATACAGCAAATAACACATCCACTTTAAACAGGGCATTACTGGAAAAGACCTGGAGTTAAATTGTTGGAAGAAAAAAGGTTTACTTTTACAAACACTCAAAATGACTTATTCCCTTTAGAAAATATATTTTCCATGAGTCATTACTTGGAAAACTGCTCATTCATTCTGCTTTGTATCCATCCTGAGACTGCTTCATTTTTCCGCACTGCCATTAATATTGCCTCCATTAAGCCCATAAAATGGAAAATCAGAATGGTTTCACAAATTTAAGTAAAGAAATTCACACGTCACTCACTAGAGGCATTTTTCAGGCAAAATGCATTTTCTCTAAAACAGCAATGTTTTACATTCCCAGAACTCCCAGAAAAACACAGGCAGCATCGGTGTAGTGGTTACGGTACAAAGAATATGTGGGTACTGACCTCCCCTTTTTTATTTTATTTATCTTTTTTTTTTTTTTTTTACACCAGAGAGAGATTCGACAAAAAAATTTTTAAAAAATAAAAAATAAAAATAAAAAAAAAGTTTTTGGAATCTTAGTAAGTTTTATGTTACGGTTTCCAATCCAGGGTTCCAATCTGTTGCAAGCTAACTAGACAACCCTTGTGTAGCTTTAGTCTGTGAAAACAGCATGTGGATTGCATACGAGCTAAAAAAGAAAATGAAATCCAGAGCAGACTACCCCCTATCCATATCACATTAACATACACAAGTAGCCTGAAAATAAATCTTAAATTGTGGATTTGTATTATGGATTTAAATGCACGTAGGTTTGCAATAAATCTCATAAAATGCAACTACACTACACATTGAGATAACAATGTTGATTATGTTTTTTGTTAACCTTCTCTTAATACGAAATATAATTGTAGTTCTTTTTAGTTTTTTTGGTTTTGCAGAAGGAAACCAAAGAAATGTCAGCTATGGAACCAAGACACGTCTCTAATTAACTTCCTGAACAGAGGGATAACGTTTCACATACATTTTAGATGAGTGGGAATATCCACCTCGCAGATGTTTCCTGTATAACTCAAAACGTTTATGGAATGAGGCAGCCAGTATTAAAAAGTAGATTTGAAAACAGAGGGCAAATGAAGTTACAGGCAGGTGGGGCCCATCCTCATTTCAGTTCATAAACAGGACCTTTGATATAATTGTGCTCTAGATTTTTCTCAAACAGTCAAATAATTTTGGTATAATTCCAATTGACAAAAAAAAAAAATGGATAAACAGTATAATTAAGCAGTAAGCACATCATTGCTCAATCCTCTGTTATTTAGTAATGAAATCACTATGTTTAGGCAGCCCTAGCAACAAATCTCTAGGCTGTGACTCACACCCCAACTCCAAAATAAGTATTTCATAAAGATAGAATCTTTACGAAATCATGTCCCCCTTAACCGTCTTGATTTCGGCGGGGCAGTCCAAATTTTCACCAGGCTGACCTGAAGGGCCCTCCACTGCACATCTGTGTTGCAACCACTACAGGATGCTTCAGGCATGCGCATATGCACTTGGGCATCTGATGGAGAAGTGTGTTACGTGCACAAACACAAGATATACTCCGAACATATGCATGCACCATGCATATGATAGTGCACATCTTAACTAACTTACATACTTTGCCAAACTTTGCCCAGTGACGTATGCAAAAAAAAAAAAAAGTAGTTTAACCAATATCTAACTTTTCGTTAGCTAGTAGGTGGTTCTAAGATTGAGGAAGGGATGGTCCATCTTAAACATACAAAAAAAAATTTTTAAACAGAAAAGCATTAATGTACTTTTTTTCCTAAGCATCGAGTCACTGTATAGATAAGGCTAGATACAAGAGTTATGCTGGGGAAAAATATTTTACAGTTTCTCAAAGAACCCCCCACAGAAAAAAAATAAAAAAAGTGTTTTAAATCACGCAAAAAACTAAAACAAATGTTACTCCATCAGATTCACTTTTGGTTAGTCCTTTAAAACGTTTACATATTTATTTATCTGTGCATAGCATTTTTCTCAAAATTTATTTATTTATAAAATATTTTACCAGGAAAGATACATTGAGATTTCTCTCGTTTTCAAGTATGTCCTGGGTCCACAAATCATTGCATTGTTACAATTAGGGTACAATAAAATACAAAAACAATATTAATACACAATATATACAAAATTTAACATAAAACAGGCAGGAAATATATAATCAACCATCAACCAGGTGCATTCTGTTTTGAGGTATGTAGAGAGGGATCTCTTAAAGGACTTTCGGCTCAGGGAAGATTTTAAATTGTGCGGGAGGTCGTTCCATAATTGCGGTGCTCTGTAGGAGATGGAGGATCGGGCTGCTTTCTTTTAGTATTGAGGTAGACTAAGTAAGTGTTGGTACTGGATCGGAGGTTATAGGAAGTGGGAACAGCTAAGGAAAGCATTGTGTTCAGGTAGGGTGGGAGTTTCCCATAAAAGCTCTTAAACACAAGGCTGGAAAGAAGAAGGGTGCGTCTGGATTCCAGCGACAGCCAGTTTAGTTATTTTAGCATGTCACAATGGTGAGTCCTGTAATTACATTGTAGCACAAATCGGCAGAACGAGTTATACAATGTGTTGAGTTTATTAATGTGGGGTTGCGATGCAGATGCATAAACTACATCCCCATAATCAATGATTGACATCAGTATTTGCTGTACAATCTTTTCCTTTACTGTAAGGCTTAGGCGGGATTTGTTTCTGTACAGGGCACCTAGTTTTGATGCAAGCTTTTCTATGTACAGGCCAAAAGATAGATTGCTGTCTAACATCATACCCAAGTATTTGAAAGAGTGGACTGGGGTCAGTGTGCCATTTGAATTTGTTTTGATGGATAGGTGGGAATTGTGTAATTTGTGTAATTTAGGTACTGTTCCAAAGATCATTGTGACAGTTTTGTCCGTGTTCAGGAAGAGTTTGTTTTTTGCGATCCACCTTTCTACCTCTGTAAATTGGTCTTGGAGCACAGCCTCGAGCTGCAGTAGATCGGAATTGCTCGCATAGATTACCGTGTCATCTGCGTACATGTGTACATTTGAGGATTTGCAGACATTAGGCAGATCATTTATAAATAATGTAAATAGTAGGGGGCCGAGAATGGAACCTTGGGGAACACCACACGTGACTGGGAGGGGGAGGGAGTTGCTGTCAGAAATGGACACATATTGCGAGCGATCCTATACATACAATCGAAACCAGTTTAGCGAACGATCACCAATACCTGAGTTTTTGAGTTTGTGCAGTAGAATGTCGTGGTCTACTGTGTCAAAGGCCTTAGCAAAATCAAGGAAAATAGCTCCAGTTAGGTCTCCTTGTTCCATGCCAGTTTGGATGTCTTTGCAAACTTTTAAGAGGGCAGTTGTAGTGGAGTGATTCTGGTGAAAGCCCGATTGATCAGGGGTCAGATAGTTTGATTGTTGGTAGTACTCACATAGTTGCGTATGGACACATTTTTCTAAGATTTTTGACAATACCGGGAGCATCGATATTGGGCGATAGTTAGAAACCAAAAGTATTGTCCCCACTTTTATGGATAGGCACTACTCTCGCAGTCTTCCAAAGTTTGGGTATGTATCCAGACACCGAGGATTCGTTAATTAGAGTTGCGACGGGTTTAGCAATTGCCGGCGCACTGAGCTTCAACAGCATTGCTGGGATTTGATCAGGTCCGGACTGGTTTTTCATTTTTAGATTATTAAGATGTTTTTCAATGACACTAACAGGTACAGGTCTAAAAATGAACTTGTCTATATTGGGACTTTGCAAATTTAGTGGGGCCTGATCCACATTTGTAGTTTCAGGATGCGTGTCATTTATTAGCTTGGCAATCAGGGCAGTAGAGCATCCGACAAAATAATTGTTAAAGGCATTTGCTACATCTAAGGGAAGTTGCAGGGTTTGGTTATCCATTTTGACAGTGGAGGGTTGTGAGTAGATTGGGGGAGTTTGTAGTTTATTTATGACTTTCCAAATGTTTCTAGGGTTTGAGATGTTATTGTTCAGAATTTCACAGAAATATTGGGCCTTGGCCAATTTTGTCTGTTTTGTGCATATATTTCGCCATTGTCTATATGCACGGTGATCATTCATAGAGCCAGTACGCTTAAACTTTGACCACAAAGAATCCCGAAACTGGTACATTTGGATGAGATTGGCTGTGATCCAGTTCATATGTGCTTCTTTTACCATTACCTTACGCAGCGGGGCATGCAAATTCCAAATTTGTAGGAGTTCAGACTGAAAAAAATTCAACAGCACAGTCTAGATCTGGGATAATGTTTAATCTGTGCCATGGGAGGTTCTTGATGTCCTTTAGAAAGGATTCAAGATTACATTTTTTGAAGGACCTAGTTATTTTAACCTTGGAAGTGGATTTAGTAGCCTTTATTTTGCGCATGCAGTACACTAAACAGTGATCACTGAAAGTGTTTGGGAGAACACCGGCCTCCTGGATTCTATCAGGAGAAGTGGAGAGAATCCAATCTAGCAGGGTATGGTTATGGCTTTTAATGTTTATGCGAGTTGGGGAGGAGATTAATTGTGTTAGCTGCAAAGTCTTAAACAGCGTGCAAGAACTATTATTTTTAGGATTCAGCCAATCAATATTAACCAACAGTCCACCTTTAGGATTTTGAGCTATGGTTTCACTAAGGAGATGGGCTATGTCAGAAAGGGAATGCACAGGGGAGCTAGGTGGGCGGTAGATTCCTGCAACAATGATTGATTTACTGCATGGGATTTCAATTGTGCCAGAAAGGAAATCAAAGGAAGGTGGCAGGAGGACTAAGGTTTTGTAAATGGGTAAACTTTATGGAATAGTCAACATAAATAACAATGCCTCCTCCTCTCTTTGCTCTGTCATTTCTAAAACATGAATAACCCTGTATTGCAATGGCGTGTCTGGTATTTTAGTCGTTAACCATGATTCTGAGAGCACAATGATTTTTGGTTTGTAATGGGAACACCAGGCTTGCAGTGCATCCAGTTTAGGGAGTAAACTACGGATGTTGCAGTGCACAAAAGAGAGGACTTTTTTAGTGGGGAGATTAGGACTAGAATTAGCTGGGGAACCAGGGTTAGACTCCACATCATTTGCAAGGGCAAGTAACATAAGGAATAGGAATTTGGACATAATTTTTGTTTGGCCATATAGTGAATGGGATACTTTATAATTTTGTGAGGTGGGGGTAGGAGGGCTATTTTTTTATAACTCTCCACCAGAACTCAGCAGATAAGTTATAGGAACAGAGCAGGCCATGGTGTATGATAATTTGTGTTCCAGTTTGAGGTGTGTGTTATGCTGGTGGTGGTGTGAACAAAATTGGATTGAAAAAAGGGTTATTAAGAATATCAGTATGGTTATATTTGGATTCATGTTAGTAGTATGAGGTGTGGAGTTGAAAATGAAACAGAAATTGCGAAAAACAAAAATTAAATAAAAGTATATAGTATTGGTGTGTGATATATGTATTTGTAGGGAGAGAGGGTATGTGTTCTATAGGGTTAAGCGATTGGAAGGGTGTGCTGATCAGTGTTTGCACCTGTCTTTTCAGGAGATTGAAAGTTGTGTGGGAGACTATCTATAAATGAGGAAATAAGCATGGGGTGGGTGGGCGAGGTAAATAGCTTATCTCTAGTGGTGGTTGGGGAGGGGAGGGGAGGTTTGCAATGCAGTTATTAAAAACTGTCTTTAAGAAGTATTTAATTTCTGTAGAGTCCTTAAAGGAACACTATAGTTATCAGAACAACTACAGCTTAATGTAGTTGTTCTGGTGAGTATAATCGTTACACACAGGCATTTGCATGCAAAACACTGCCTTTTCACATTGCTCCCTAGGGATACCGCCACTGGCCACTCCTTAGATCATGGGGTGGAGCCAGCAAAAGCAGGCCCACGCAAACGCTGGAAATAAGGTACATTTTATTACCTTTTAAGGGGGCTAAAAGGGCACAAGCCACATAAATGGTGGTTTTAACACTATGTGGTTTAACACAGCAATATTATTGTTGTGGACTTTGCATAATTTACAGAGACCCCTGACGGTGATATGGCAGCTCTGGTGGCCGCAAAAGTTCAGCAGCGAGGTGTATGGAGGACCCTGTTAATTTGACAGCTTGACATTGGCAGCTCCACCCACTGTCAGGAAGTTTTAAGCATAGGAAAAATATTGAGACAAAAGAGTCCCCTACTGTGTCTCACTATATCTTTGACTGGGTTGGCTTTTCAGTGAAAATCCAACACAGTCAATTTGGGTACTTTTTTTTATTCTTTATTTGTACATCACTTCACTTATAAGTACAAAATAAAATATAACATTGCAGAAGATAGATACAATATGCACATCATAACCAGTAGTAACACAATATCAGAGTCCATACAGATGTTCAAACAGCTACTTAGATGCCTACTTGCAAAAACAGAATATTCAAGGATATAATCTTTCAATGTAGGGTAATAACTGCTTGATCCAAGGATAGATCTGACTGCAATTCTGGGGTCAAGAAGGAATATTTTTCCTAGCTTGTTGCAAAATTGGAAGTGCTTCAAACTATTTTTTTGCCTTCTTTTGGATCAACAGCAAAAAACAAATGTGAGGAAGGCTGAACTTGATGGACGCAAGTCTCTTTTCAGCTATGTAACCATGTATGTAACTATGTAATATGAATATAAGTAGTTAAGAGAGAGTTGTTTTTTTGACAAAATGTAGGACATGTAAAATTCAACTGACATATTCCATTGGGCTCAATACTACCTCTTGGAGAGGTTACCCCCACCCATACTATAACAGATTATATTCTAGTACCAACTTGGGAAATGTGTGGGGGGGTGGGAGAGACAGAAGTATTACCCTCCATATTATGCTTATATGGGTGCTCTCTTGTCGGCTAGTGTGAATTGCCTTAGATCGTTGTGGGGGAACCCAAGTAGGTTCAGAGATGGAGAGCATCCCTGTGGATAGTCTGAACTGTAGTTCAGAGGGTGAGAAAAGACCACTTAAAGTGAGCTAGTGATCAATAATTAAAATGGTAGAGAAAAACCAAGAAAAATGAATAAACAAAAACAACACTTAAAGGAAATACTACAGAAAAAGATAATCCCAGCAGAACATAGGTTGTATTTAACATTCCAGACTAGGTGGCGCTCACTGCCGCCGGGGGACAGTATATTGAGTGCCAGTCAAGTGACCGCCATCCTGGATGTGTGTCTCGAGGGGAGTAGAAGGGTAAATATAGGGATATTCGTTAGATCCAGGCCGGTCAGGCCGATATCTGTCACTCTGGTGACATTAGTGAGGCCCATTCTGCTCATGCTGTCTTCTAGGTCTTGGAGACTCGGCACTCTGTGATTGTTTCCTTGGTAGGAGAACATCAGTCATCTGGGGATGCCCCAGCAGTAGGGAACTTACTTGTCTCGGAGGACTTGTAGCATCGACTTCAGTGATCTTCTCCAGGCCAGTGTGCTCTTTGTGAGGTCAGGGAAGATAAGGATTGATTAGCCCTCAAACTGGACTGGTGTTTTCCCTCTAACCTCCTTGAGGAACAGGGCCCTATCCTAAGTGGTCTGAAAGCGGACAATTAAATCAGCTGTTGCTGTGGCAGGGGTATTTGATGACTTAGGTAGCCGGAACATGCCATCTATTTTCATTCCTTTGGCCTGTTAACGTGACAGAGTTTCACACAGCCTTCTGATGTAGTGTGGCAGCTCCTCTGTGCCAATTGAGTCAGGGATGACCCTAAGTTTCAAGTTGTAGCGTCTTCTTTGGTCTTCCAGTATTTCCATTTGGGTCTCCATGGTTCACTGGGCCATCTGGATTTCTTCCAGTTTTTGCTCCACAGACGCCGCCATCTTTGTGTCTTGAGTGGTAGCAGTAGCCTCAAGGTTTGTTATCCTTGAGTTGGCATTTTCCATGGCTGTTTTAAATTGGGAGATGTTGGCTGCAATTTTGCATAGATTTAAGCAGGGTTACCGTGACAGGCTCTCTATTTTCAGCAACAGAGGCCGGTTCCATCACAGTCTGCTTACTGCTGGAAGCACTTGTCTCCAGTGCCGCAGCGAAGTCCTCAGGTAAGTTAGCGGATTCAACGTCCTGCGGCACCATGTTGGACCATGTGGCCTGTTTTGAACTTTGAAGGAGGTTGCCAATATCTCGGCTCACCTGGAATTTTTAGTCTTGCGACCCATGACTAAGAGCCAGTCTAGGGTCTTGTTTCCACCCCCTCCAGGTAAGTATTTCAGCTGGGTTACTGCAGTTTCTACAGAAGTGTCGCGGAGCTCAGAGTGCAACCTCTCCAGTTCGATGCTAGCTCCGTCCACATAAAGATCCTATTTTAATGAACTAAGGGAAAAAGGGCCAACTTGATGGAAAAGAGAGTCAGAGGCATTTTGGCTCAAAAAAGTGATGGTCCCTCCTTAGTATTGGCACTTGGGAGGTAAGCAATGACGCTGACAGACCTGCTGTGTGGTTAAACTCAGTATATGCAGCTTTTTTTATGCACATACAGACTCTGGGCACCATGACCACTTGAAATCAATGAAGTTATCATGGTGCCTAGAGTATCTTATCCCCTGTTTCCACTTGCCTTTATTGATTTTTATTATCCTTTCCTTTGGATCTTGGTATCTGGGTGCAGCCATTTGTGCTCATCTGTCCATGATAACTACAGTTTGCCCTAAAGATAAATTTTTAGTACTGATAGCTTGTGGGTAAATATGAAATAGAGATAGTTGGTTCTGGTACACCTAATGTGTTAAACAGGAGTGAGGGAGTAGGACTGGCACTAGGCCGCTCAAAAAACTGGAAATAAATAGGGATCCACTAAAACCTATGAAAGAGATACTATGGAGAGACACTAATACTGTGTGCTGATACCAGGAGCTGGCCAAGAATATGGCTAAAATGGGTAAAGATATGGACACGAGAGGATATGTATACAATGGTACTGTGTCTTTAAAAGATAACAAATTCACAGGAAAATGTAAAAACGAGATAGATAGATTTGAGTAATAGTTTAGATAAGATATATGTGGATGGAGGATAAACATCTTGTAAATAAATAATACATGAAATAAATAGATGAATGGATAAATATATGTCTAATGCAAAATATGCAGTGCAAGTGCCTCTATTTCTGCTATAGAAGAGAATGGCTGGCACTTGTACCAGATTATATACTTTGTAGATGCAGATGAAAAAAAGTACAAAAGTGTAATAATATAGCAATACAGTATATGGAACTGTAGGCTAAAGATGTTACACAATGTAACAACAATTAGTAGAAAGCAATGGTTCGGAAACTGGATAAGAGTAAAAACCAGTTTATTAGACAAAAGATAAACTATGAAAAATATATATTAAAAAAATATGATTCAGGAAAAGTTCATACAGGTATTACCAGTCATATAGAAGTCAGAAATATTCAGAGACCTTCGGATTATTTTCTGATGGATGTGGATTGAATTTCTCAGTTGCCGCTTGTAATGATACCGCCGGTGAGGACAGCGTGTTTGTTCAGCATGCGTCCCAGCGGGAGCCACACTCCGGAGGAACGTGTGCTGTAGACGGCTCCAATTCAGTAAACAAACCAACAGGTCCTGAGGGAGTACTGACTTCAAATGATGCGTATATGCCGGATCTAAGTCCTGATGCATGTCTACTAATTGTTGTTACATTGTGTAACATCTTTAGCCTACAGTTCCATATACTGTATTGCTATATTATTAAATGTTTGTACTTTTTTCATCTGCATCTTTGAAAGATACAAAGTATATAATCTAGTACACGTGCCAGCCATTCTGTTCTATAGCAGCAATAGAGGCACTTGCACTGCATAATTTGCTTTAGACATATATTTATCCATTCATCTATTTATGTATCTATTTATTTCATGTATTATTTATTTACAAGATGTTTATCCTCAATCCACATATATCTTATCTAAACTATTTGATTCTGTCTATTTATCTCGTTTTTACATTTTCCTGTGAATTTTAGTTCTCTTTTAAAGACACAGTACCATTGTATACACATCCTCTCTTGTATCCATATCTTTACCCATTTTAGCCATATTCTAGGCCAGCTCCTGGTATCTGCACACAGTATTAGTGTCTCTCCAAAATATTAAATAGAACCTCGATTAAGACTTATTGTCAGGTATCATGAACTTAACTGCATTTTATGAAGAATATAGTGCTGTAAAAAGATCTGTATTACATAACGTTTATTTTTGTTGACAGTGTCACTTTAGATAGACTGTGACATTTCATACAACGCATTGCCTTTAAATGATTTCTCTTGTTAAGAAAGAAAAAAAAAAGAACATTCCTCCCTCTGACTCATTGCCAGGAATAAACATGGAGAGAAATAATGGAGGACAGTTCCAAGGTTGGGGCCCACTGTCTGAGACAGAAGCTTTTATTTCAAAGTCACCTCATTAAATCTTCAGAACATAAAATGTGAGATAAACTGAAATACTAAGTCAGAACACATTCTAACAATATTAACAATGTAAACATTCTAAAATGACAGCATGTTACTGTAAGAACTAGTGTTTGGCATGCACCCATGACTTTCTATTTAAAAATAAAATTGAAGTTCCTTTAAACATTCAGGGCTGGGTTGCTTCAAAAAGTAAGCTTAGTTTGTAACACTTCTTTGTTTTTATGTCAACTCCCATACCAGGGGAGAGAACTAGACCCCTACATCATAAGGGGCTGGGATGCACATGTCAATGTGTGTCAAGCACATCACTAAACACTAGAGAGCGTTATAGGCTTCCAATAAACCCCCTATGCTGCATACATTTATTGAACTATCCTTCACTCGAGGCAAATATCAAAACCACATCCTGAGGGGTTGTGGCTATGTTGTGAAAACTAAGTTTCACTATAGCAAAGGGAAGTGGTTTATGACTGCAGGGCTGGGCCATTAAGTTTGTATGTGAGTCACCTAGCAATTAGTTTACAATATTTTTGTGGCCTATAAAATAAGGTCTTACCCCTTAGTGTCAAGTCAACGTTCATGTTAAATGCTGGTTGTCCATTAATAATGCTATGGTCAATAACTTTAGTCCACAGTAATTTGTCCAAGTCTTATTTGGGGTGATTTAGGGATTGGTTGTGGTAATAAAGGTTATAAATCTATACCGTCATGTGTATCTGCACACATTGGAATTGCAAACACAGTCAGTGATTTTCATATAGATTCTCCGGGTGATTTATTAAAGTAAGAATTGTCAGGAATTCAAAGTGAAATTTACAATTTAGACCAAACAAGAAGATCTAGAAACATCCTCTAAGTCAGCTACGCTTCCAGTTCAGCAACTTTAGCCTTGATTTAAAATTTGCTGCTGATATTCCTTAAATTTAGTAAATAAGCCTGTCTGTCTTTCCTAAAACTCAACAATCTCAAAGTGACAGTGCTGCTTAAACCCAGAAGCAACAACCACAATCAGAAGTACAGTTTAAACCACAGGCTTAACATCATTAAAACTTATCATAAAAAAACCAACCAAAAAAAACAAAACAAACATATGTACATATATAATATTCAGAGACCTTCATTTCCCTAGCCTAATCTCCCCGCACTGAATTTCATGCTCCATATCCAAAACCACTTTGGTGGTCCAATCAAAGCATTTCAAACTGTTTCACCAGCTCATAGCATAAATAATGTAAATTTTTCGATTAGCTCATTATGTCTGTTGCCAGTGCACTGTGCCTCCTGTCTTGCCAACAGATATACATTTTGCACATATTTCAAATTAGGCAGCCTTTAAATGCAACTAGCACAAAAATGAAGATTACCATGTATGTGCAGTGTTTCAGCTTGATTTCTACCACCATGATCACTTCTAAAATGAGAAGTGGTTATGGTGGATGAAGCAAACCTTTAAAAAAATGTTCCCCCATATTAGTCAACACTAGGTAATCCATAATGGCAAATAAAAAAAAAACAAAAAAAAAAACAGTGTTTGAAAACTTACACATTTATTTTAAAAAACTCAAACCTAAAGTATCACATTGCCATAAGTATTCAGAGCTTTAAAGGGACACTTCAGGCACCAAAATAACTATCTAAATGAAGTTGTTATGGTGCCAGGATGCCCCCAGAGGAACGCTTACCTCAAAAGGTTACCCCAATCTCCACTCCCTTACCCACGGCAGCATCTGACTTCTGAAGTTTTAGATAGGAAGCATACCTTTTCCAACCAAGTATAGTAAATGGGGAATCACTGATTGGCTGAGAGCGTCATCTTATCACTTTCAGCGGCGCCCCTGCCCGGCAGCACTCAGCTTCCTGAATCTGAAAATGAAGCCTTGGGGAAGTGGACATCGAAGTTGGAGGCAACTTTTGGGTTAAATGTTCAAGAACTGTTTAACCCCTTTAGGTAAGAGTGCCTCCAGGCACCATAACATCATTTATGTTTTGGTGCTTGGAGTGTCCCTTTAACTCAGTACTAGTTGAAGCATCTTTAGCAGCAATTACAACCTCAAGTCTTTTAGGGTATGACAAGAAAAGTATTGCACGCGTGGATTTGAGTAGCTTTGGCTATTCTTCTCTGTAGATCTAACTCAGGTTGGATGGGGGCACCTCAGGACAGCCATTTTGAGGTCTCTCCAGAGATGTTTTATTGGGATCAAGTACGGGCTCTGCCGGGGCTACTCAAGGACATTCACAGAGTTGTCCCTAAGCCACACTTGCGTTGTCTTGGCTGTGTACCTAGGGTCACTGTCCAATTGGAAAGTGAACCTTCAGCCCAGGCTGAGGTCTGGAGCGCTCTAGTTTTCATTAGGGATACATAGTTATTTTGCTGTGTTCAGCTTCCTCTCAGCTCTGACCCGTCTCCTAGTCTCTTTCCCTACTATCTCCACATGATCTCTGGAGAGATCACTTAGAGCAGGGCTGCCAATAGGTAAATCCCCAAATGTTATAGAACTACAACTCCCATGATGCTTTGTCATTCTAAACACATGCAAAGCATTATGTGAGTTATGTTCTATAAATATCTGAGATCTACCTGTTGGGCAGCCCTGACATAGAGTAACCATCAGGTTCTTTGTCACACCTGTTACCAAGGCCCTTCTCCACAACTTCTCAGTTTGGATGGGCGCCCTGTTCTGGTTGTTCTGAATTTCTTCCATTTAAGAATTGAAAGAGGCCTCTGCGCTTTTTGGAACCGTCAGTGCAGCAGATAATATTTTGTAGTCTCCCCCCGTTTGATGCCTCAAGCTCCAACTCTGAGCTTCTCTGGCATATTTCTTTGATCTAATGGCTGTTTTTTTTGCTCTCATGTGTATTACAGCTGTGAGACCTTTTTTATGAAAGACCACTGTAACAAACGCTCCTTCCCACAAACGTTTGCCATAGACTCCTGGAGGAGAGTGGAAGTTGGCCTCCTGCCCACCAACTATAGTCCAGGTATGAGACACAGTTCGGGAGTTACACTGCCCAGTCACCATTTCCTTGGGTGCCCCGGTTCAGCACTTTCTTTGCATTTTAATGGAACCGAACACTAGCTCCCTGGCGGCCACTCGCATGAACCAAACCCACAAATGGTCCTCAGCGATACTTAGCCGCGACCGCTATGGAACTCATTTCAGTATGAGGACTTTGACATGAGGGGACCGTGCAGTTCCCGGGCAATTTGTTCCAGGGTTTTGAGCTACTTTGCAATCTGCCAAGAGAGCGCTTTTTGGAGGGAATATGTCCAGGGCCGGACTGGGGATACGAAGCAGCCCTGGAAAAAAATCTATGCCAGCCCCATAAGTCATTGTGCTATGTAGGGTGTTATATATATATATATATATATATATATATATATAGGCAATTTAAATAGTTGGCTGCACTCTCGGATTTCCTGAAAATGTAACTTTTATTGAAATATTTAAGAGAAGATCAATGTTTCAGTCCCTCTTGTGGACTTTCGTCATGATCCTGATGCAAGTCCACAAGAGGGACTGAAACGTTGATCTTCTCTTAAATATTTCAATAAAAGTAAAATTTTAAGGAAATCCGAGAGTGCAGCCAACTATTTCAATTGCCTATATATATATACTGGATACTGGAGCCCTGGTGATGCAACAGTATATATATTTTTTATTTTTTTATTAATACATTTCTTCTTCTAATTCAAAAATTAGTTCTTTTAGGGTAATTAAATTATACAGTAAAGCATACTCACACACAGACAGACAATCTTACTGATGCACACAAATAGGCTCATTCACAGACAATGACACACACAGACAAGGTTACTGGCACACACACAACTTTAGTACAGACAAACTCTGATACACACACACAAGCTTACTATAGACAAGCTCACTGTCACACACACACGCTCACTACAGACAAGCTCATTGATGCGCACACACTCTCCCTACAGACAAGCCCATTGACACACACGCTCCCTACAGAAGAGCTCACTAACACACAGATTCACTACAGACAAGCTCACTGACACACACATGCTCACTACAGACAAGCTCACTGACACACATATGGTCACTACAGACAAGCTCACGATCACACTCATGCTTACTACAGACAAGCTCACTGTACACACATGCTCACCACCGACAGGCTCCGACACACCCATGCTCCTTACAGACAAGCTCACTAACACACACACATATGGTCCCTACAGACAAGCTCACTGACACACATACAAGCTCACTCACTAGCAGACACACACACACACACAGAGGCTTCCTCACTAGCAGATGCGCGCACACACACACACACACACACAGAGGCAGGCAGTCACTGACACCCAGGCAGACAGCCACACACACACACACACACACACACAGGCAGCCAGTCACTGACACCCAGGCAGACAGCCACACACACCGGCAGACAGTCACTGATACCGAGGCAAACACCCACACATACAAAGACAGGCAGACAGCCACACACACACACACAGGCAGACAGTCACACACACACACACACAGGCAGACAGTCACGCACACACAGGCAGACAGTCACACACTCACACAGACAGTCACTGACACCGAGGCAAACACCCACACATACAAAGACAGGCAGACAGCCACACACTCAAACACACAGGCAGTCACACACAGGCAGACAGTCACACACACACAGACACACAGGCAGACAGTCACACACTCACAGTCACTGACATCGAGGCAAACACCCACACATACAAGGACAGGCAGACAGCAACACACTCACACACAGTCACACACACACACACACACAGTCACACACTCACACAGACAGACACACACACAGACAGACACACACACAGACAGACACACACACACTCAGGGACTCCCGCCCGGCTCTGGGGAGAGGAAAGGGGTTAAAACACACACACACAGTCACACACACACACAGTCATACAGACAGTCACACACACACACACACAGTCACACACTCACAGTCACACAGACACAGACAGTCACACACTGACCTGCTTCTTCTCTCCTGCTTGGAGCTCCTGGAGGCTGGTTGTTGGGGAAGCAGGAACTCCTTCCTGCTTCCCATGCTGCAGTCAGCCAGGCCCCCGCCGCAGCTAAGCTCCGCCCCCGCCGCACGTAAGCCCCGCCCCCGCCGCAAATTTATTTTTATTTTTCTCATCATACCTAGAGCATTTGGTACCTAGATCATTTGTCCTATTTTTGGCACACCCTCCCACCCCCCAAACTTTAAAATGTAAAAAAACAACCGCAATTTATAAAAAATAAATAATTATTTAGCACTAAGCAGTGTTTATGCTTTTGAATGTAAGCATGTTTTTGTATGGAGTATGTTTGAGTGAATGTTGGGTGTGTGTCGACATTTGAATACAGGCATGCATTTCTATGTAGCGTGGTTTTTGAATGCAGTGTTGTGGTTATATATAATGGAGTTTGTATGAAGTGTTGACGTTGAAATGCAGGGGTGTGTGTGTGTGTGTGTATATAGAGATATATATAGAGAGAGAGAGAGAGAGAGAGAGAGAATGAAAATCCAGCGCACTCCCTTATCTACTAAACAGCTACTTTGGTGCTGACAGATCTTGCTAGTTTTACCAAAAATGCCCAATCCAGGCAAAAAACAATGGGAGCCCACATGACCACACACCGCACAAGCCCGCCACAACGTCAATGTACCCCATCTTTGGCAGGTCCTACTCTTACAACCAACTGTCTACTAAATGAGCTACTCACTTGGGGAAATCCTTCCATCTCGAGTTCTCTGCAGTACAAGGCTAAATAGGGTTCTGAGATGAGGCACCTGTGACAGGGAGGGGTGCAAAACCAAGGAGCTGGCTAGACTCCTAAATATATATATATAGAAACAAGGGACTGGCTGCACTCACCTGAACATGCTTAAATTGGGGGCCCAATAAGTACAGTAAAAATGACCTGCCAAAGATGGGGTACATTGACGTTGTGGCGGGCCTGTGTGGTGTGTGGTCATGTGGTGTAACTGCAGGGCCGGTCCGGCCCACCGGGATACCGGGAAATTTCCCGGTGGGCCGTGGCACCTGGGGGCCGGCCGCGTTCCTGGCTGGAGCCGCCGGGCTGGGTGGCAGCTTCCCCGGTCCGGCGGCACTCCTCTCACTGCTGTGGCTGATGGAGGAGGAGCATGTCTCTATACCATGCTCCCTCGCGGTTCCTGGCACAGGAACCGGGAGGGAGCATGGTACAGAGACATGCTCCTCCTCCATCAGCCACAGCAGTGACAGGAGCAGGGCCGCCGGACCGGTGAAGCTGCCACCCGGCCCGGCGGCTCCAGCCAGGAACAAGGTCGGCCCCCTGACTTCTCCAGGTAAAGGGGAGGAGGAGACAAAGGAAAGGGGGGATGAGAGGATGGGGAGAGATACAGGGAAAGGGGTAGGAGAGAGATGGGAGGAGAGGAGAGACACAAGGAAAGGGGGGAGAGATACAGGGAAAGGGGTAGGGAGAGAGATGGGGAGAGACACAGGGAAAGGGGGGGAGGGGAGGGAGGAGGGGAGAGACACAGGGAAAGGGGGGAGGGAGAGAGATGGGGAGAGACACAGGGAAAGGGGGGAGGGAGAGAGATGGGGAGAGACACAGGAAATGGGGAGGGAGAGAGATGGAGAGAGATCACAGGAAAAGGGGGGAGGGAGAGAGATGGAGAGAGACACAGGGAAAGGGGGGAGGGAAAGAGATGGGGAGGAGGGGAGAGACACAGGGAAAAGGGGAGGGAGAGAGATGGGGAGGAGGGGAGAGACACAGGGAAAGGGGGGAGGGAGAGAGATGGGGAGGAGGAAGAGACACAGGGAAAGGGGGTGAAAGAGGCAGAGGGGGAAGAGAGAGACTGGGAAGGAGAGGGGAGTAAAACAGAAAGGACCCAGAAGCCATGAACCAGGTAATGGTCTGTACCGGAGCCTGGACAGAAAAACACAGGAGTACAGCAGTACCCGTGAATGGAGAGACCCCAACACAGGGCTAAATGGACTATGGCTATTAAGTATCTGCAGCCTCCCATCTCTTGGCATAGGCTAAGCAGCCCTCCAGAAACATTCACAATAAGCAGGCAACGCTTGCTGTGCCCACTTACTACGTTGACATGTTTTTACAAGCAATCCAGTGGTTATTATTTCTTGCCCCTATTCCTCTCTTTATAGAGTACTAGCTATGTTTCTTCTGTTGCAGCCTGTCCTTTCACTATCTAGTATGTTACAGAGAGTTCTACCTAATGTATAGCCTGTTCTCTTTCCTTATACTAAACCACAAACACAGACACCAAGCCTACCACAAGCCTTCTAAGCTCCTCTTCTGTCTAACCCTAAAGTATACTGTCCTACAACATGTAAAAAATGTGCAATCCCACAGCCACACTGTTCTTAATAATATGTAATCCTAATGTGTGCTAATGCTGTTGTGGCAACGCATGCCTGTATTGTTATATGTGCACAACAATAATAAAGAATTATAAAAAGAGTCAATTTACACCTAAAATAATTGTGATCACAAGAAATCGATAGCTAGCAATAGTACAACTTTAAAATAAGGGAAAGCTTGGACATTTTTTAGAATGTTTAAATATCTACTTAGTAAGGGGAATTAAGTAGTTGGGATGCTTAACTGCTGCTGTACTGATCCCATTTCTGAATAGTTTAATTACAGCAGTGATATCATTATAGTCCTTGAAGAGGTTAATTTGAAGAAGCAAAAATAAATGTTCTTTTGACTTAGTAACCATCAGAAATTTACTCTGCTCAAAAAAGAAAAATAAGTAATTTTCCATAGTGCACGCCCTCATAAAATGCACTGTGAGAGCTTTTTAATATTTCTATTACGTAAGCATCCTGTGTTATAAATTAAACAATCTCTAATGAAGCAAGGCTGTTCTGTATCATGTCACCCAGATGTAGTTACACTTCTGTTGAAAGAGAACAAACCTGGCTCCAGAGATGCTTAAAGTGAGCTTGATGCCTAAATACAAATTTTACTTAAAAGGGACACTATGGTCACCAAAACAAATACAGCTTATTGTATTTGTTCTCGGGTGTGTAGTCAGTCCCTGCAGGCTTTTTGCAGTGAACACTGTCAATTTCACTGAAAATGCAGTGTTTACATTACAGCCAGGGGGTACCTCCAGTGGCCACTCCTCGGATAGCCACTAGAAGGGCTTCCTGGGGCAGTGCTGCACAGTGTGCAACACTGACATTCAGTGTCTCCACCCTCTGCATGGAGATGCACTGAGTCAATGCATCTCTATGAGGAGATGCTGATTGGCCAGGGCTGCGTTTGGCTTGTGCTTACTCTGACCCTGATCTGCTTCCTTGACAATCTCAGCCAGCCCAATGCTTTCCTATGGCAAAACATTGTGATTGGCTGAGATCACCACTACTGGTGATGTCAGCCAAGGAGGCAGATCAGAGGCAGCGCAAAAAGCAGCAGACAGGAATTAAGATAAGTTTGTGCTATATTAAGGGAGGCAAGGCGGGGCGACAGGGGGTGTATAGTTTTTTTTCAGGAGTACGTTTTTGTGTTCCTTACCCTATAGTGTTAACTCTGGGTATAAAAAAAAAGGAGAAAGAAACATTCTAAATGCCTTAGCATTTAGAAACACATTTCAACCTACCAGTCTTATAAATCATTCTTGTGACAGCTGCATGGCTATATCAAGGAGGATGCTGAGGAAGCCCTTGCCCAAATGCCCTCAAGGAGAGCTACCTAGTTGCTCTTAAAGTCCTATGGTGGAAAATTAAAGGCCTTCCAACTGTTCTGATTTTGGTGGGACAGTCCTGATTGCAAATCAAAACGTCAGTATCAACATGAAACTTCAGTTACGGCTTGCTAAATAAGGAGTAGACAGTAGACATTATTTAAATCATAATAATGTAACAATTCATAACCAGTAATGTCATTGAGAAATGAATTGTGACTCTGAAATACAGCAAAGAGTCTCTCTTTCTCTCACTAACCACAAATCTCCTGGCTATCCTTTTCCTCTCCAATTCTAAAAGTGGAAAAAATATCTAAAGATCCTGCAGGCTTCTTGGCGAGTATGACATCACCTAATTTATTAGGAAAATATGACCATTTCCATTTTTTTATTTTCCCTGCATAAAAAATAGGTTATTACTAAACTTCTAAGATATATAAAAAAAATAAATAAAAATAAAATAAAAAAAGAGAACCATTATTTAATTGTATTATTAATACTCTCCAATATGTTCTGTATGAGTCCAATAAAGGCTGTTCCACCCATATTATTTAAAGGGACACTCAATTGTCCAAATACAAAAGAAATTTTGTAAAAAATCTTTGTTTAGTAGATACACCCCAAATTAATATTTGCATGCATTGAATTATGCATTTTTTCATTGAGGTACATCTAAAAACAGCTTGCAAAAGGTGCAGTTCTGCCGTAGCAAACTCTCCCCTTCTAACCACGCCCAGACTTTTTGTGGCTGTCCAATCACAGACTTCCCAATGCAGCTCAGTGAGAAGTCTTTGCAAGGCAGGTGCCCTGGGCAATTGACACATTGAGTTTAGCTCCACTGAGCTAACCAAACCAGGAAGTAACAAGACCTGTGTGAAAAGCAAGTGGGTGTAACCAGGTTAATTTATAGAAGTGTCAATTTCTGTTGAAATCTGCTCTTTTGATTTTTTAAATGAAATAAAGAGGACACACTCTTACACATAAAACTTTTCGGCAAACTAAAGTGCTGTAGAGGTCTGGAGTGTCCCTTTACAGGGGCCTTATAACGAACAACTGCAGACTCCCTGGCACTGTCCAACAGGAAGAAGTCAAACCATTTTCCAACAGTATATCACTTACCTGGGTCGATCGGGTGCTTTCCATCCTGTCCCTCTTTTAATATTGCTAAAACAAACGTTCCTGCTTTTGCTTTAGTGGCATCAATTCAGCTGATGCTTTTAGTCAATAATTCTTATAAATGTGGACAAAATTCACACATGTAATGCAAAAGCAGAAAAGCAGGGGCTACCAGGGAGAGCCGAGTAACTGTTAAATGTTCGAAAGTGGTTAAAATATTTACCAAGGGACAGTGCCAGGAGATTTCTAGCACCATAACCACTACATAGTACTCTAGTAATTATGTGATTACATTGCCCCTTAAAACATCCTCTTTACCCTACATATATGTGCAGCAATTGTATCATTATACATTTCCATTTGTTTAAGACCAGTAAGAATAAGCAGAAGCTAAATACGCTTATTTCTGCACTTCAAAAGCAAATTGTGGTTAATAAATTTCCGAGCAATTGTAGAGTTAGAAAAAAAAAATCTCTAATTGAACATTATTCATTAAAAGAACACTCAAATGACCATAACCACCAGGGGTCAAGTCCTGGGAAATAAAGCGTGGGAGTTCCACCTCCCCACCCAAACTCCACCCCCCCCCCACAAACTCTTGTATGCATATATAAATGCGTACACATACACACACACACTCAGGTGCACACATACACTCACAGACACACACACAAATTATTAATATTTTTTTTAATTTAAAAATGTCCACCCAGCCTCCCTACCTGAAGAGCTGGCATGGACCTGTCCCTTGGGTCCAGTGGTGCTTCAGTGCGGCGGGCTCTTGTCTCGCTGTCAGCCGCGGCGAGGGAGCTGTGTCCTCTCTGCTCCCTCTCCCCGCGCGGGCTGTCTACTGATGCAGGGAGCCGGAATATGACGTCATATTCAGGCTCCCGGCATCAGCAAATGGCGCAAGGGAGCAGAGAGGACACAGCTCCCTCGCCGCGTCTGTCAGCGAGACAAGAGCCCGCCGGGGAGGGTCCACCAGGTGGCCATCAGGCCACCTCTTGTGCCCCCCTATGACAGGGGGTACAAGGGGGGCATTTGGGGGCAGCATTTTTTGCCGCCCCCTGAGTGCCTGCAGGACCACAAACGGGAAGGGCGCTCTAAAAAAAAGTGCAGGAACACCATTCAATCACGTTCCTGCAGGACTCGAGCCCTGATAACCACACAGAAAACTGTTTGATTGTTTATTTTGGAATGGTGCAAAGCACTCCTCTCATTATAACCACTGGAGAGTCCTCAAGGTGCCCTTACCAGTCCAGGATTTAGGGATTACCCAGTTGTGTCTAAATTTGAATTCTCGTTTTAATGAATAACCCTAATATGTCTGTCTCCAACTGGGGTAAAACACTCTGAGAATGTTCTATTTACAGACCAGCTTTAGGTCTGCTCAAAATAGCCACAGTTGCAACCCCACTAGCTTTAAAATATACATTAATCACTTGCCACACCCAAGTTGCGTTACTAGTAAAAGCTGCCTATGCCGTTTGCTCTTCTTTGATTATAAGCCTACATGACACGTTACATTCAAATTTAAGCTATTTAGACAGTAAAGTCTCCGACACATATTTATTATTCTGCTAGGGGGACATTTCACACATCTACACAGCAAAATCTGCTTTATTGTATTATTAACCAAAGACCTGGACGGGATTTATTTTCATAAAAGAAACACATAAATTAAGCTATTTAAGGAAGGACAACACGTGAAATGTAATTTAACAGTCAGTGGCTTTCCCTGCCCTGATTGAATGCAACAGTGATAGCGTGACAGAAATACCCAACATGCTTTACTCTGAGGTTATTATTTATATAGCACCAACAAATTCCAAAGCGCTGTACTAATGTATTATGCATGTTGGATGCACTAAGCCAGAAAAGTTATATGTTCCCTTGGTTAATGGGGCCAAGCAAAGGAATGTTTGCCGGTCCCTTGCCCCTGGGTTCTAGGCGCCTCCCTAGGGTTGCCTGATAACAAGATGCAGGTAAAAGCACATCACTCCACCAGAATTAGCAAAGTGGACGAGACATTCATTGAGCAGCCAACCCCTTTGAAGAGAAGAGAAAAAAAGAAATCCTGTTGCCCTCTTTTGTCCTTTCCTTCCACGCTAGGACAACACTTGTTGCCCTAGGCTAAAAAACACAAAACAAGGGGGTTATTCACTGCACTGAACTGCAGTGAGGTTAAAACTAAATTGTAAGATGTAAACATAAAAAGCTGATTTATAAATATTCTCCAAATCAGCTGTTGTCTCTGCTTGGCTATTTCAGCCTAAATGTTTCAATATGATTGTCAGTTCAGTACAATGCATTGTTAAGTGAATAAACAGCATAATGTATGGACTGACAGTGTTACAATTTAAAAAAATACTATTAGATGCAATGTCAATTTAAAGGTTTCTATTCTTAACAGTGAATTGTAGGGATTTAAAAATTATAGCAAGAATATAAAATATATATAACAGAGTAAAAGATTTTTGGTTTTCCAAATCAGCAATTCTTATATTTTTTACTTCACTGTTTCAAGAATATAATCCATGGCGTGGAATTATTTATTTTAATGATTTGATTTATAAACCACACTCAAAGTGGATTGGATTGAATAGTAGAACAGTAAGAGATTAAATCAAATATAACCTGTTTATTACTGAACGCAATAAATTTGCACTCTAACAAGAAATGTTATGTCACACTGTAGATTAATCAATAGTAGATTTCATAATAAACAAAATGTGAAGTGTGTTTTTGCATAAGTTCCCACCATTTAAAAAAAATGATTATTTATAAAGCGCCAACAAATTCCGCAACGCTGTGCAATGGGGTTAAAATATCTGGTCCAAATCACTCATTGTAAAGTTCCTATATTCTGGATTGGTGGACTGAATTTCCCACAATTCTCAGCCCGGTAAAGAGTAAATCACAGTAGTTATGGTCCCTGAGCTACAATGTTCATTGCCCCTGATCTACACTAATGTGTGTATTTATGGTTATTACAAATTTAGGGCTATAACCACACCCCCAGTAAGTAAATATTAGTCGCCCCAGGCTATAAACAGAGCAGTTAGCAAGGTAATCCTTCAAAGTATTTACAGAGAGTCTTACAGTACAGCCCTAGAGAATGTAACAGTTTATATTAGTCACCTCCTGGTAGGCCTTGCAGTGCAAATAAACAAGCCACAGCTGGCAGTATCAACACCACACCTAGCAATACAGCCCACGTGTACCTCACTCAGAAATAAACAATATACTACTGTACACTAATTGGGTGTTTTACACTCCTATCACTCACAGGAGCAATCTAATATCTTACATATATTTCTTAAACTGCTTCAGTATTCATTTTCTGAGCGTTCTACAAAAATAATTTAATTAAACTAGAACTGGGTTGGCAGAAACGTAAACATGCAGCTGTTTTATAGCCACATCACATCATGATTCTCTGACAGGCTAAAAGACTAACACATGATTGTGGGAATTGTAGTTTAAGAGCTGCTGATCGTATGGGCGTTTTTACAACATTAGCAAAAAGGAACAAGTTTTAACAACATTAGGAAAAAGGAACAAAGAATAGAAGCCTCTGTTACTCTAGCTGCAGTGGAATACCACCCCCACAAGGCTCAAGCTACCCATACTGATCATTATGAGAATGGCAGTCCATAAGGGATTTAATCCATTCTGTTAAAGATGGTGCCACATCTGCAACAGTGTAACCGTTAACTGTTTGGCAGATTGCAGCTGCAAACGATGGAACTTTGCAATAAATCGAGTCTGCGCATTAAAGTTCTATCGCAGCAGAGCGTTAAATAAAAGAAGCTTTGGAGTTTAGAATTCATACCTTTCTTGGGATTCTGCACACAAGAAATACGTCCTGCTCACAAAGCCAGCGGAGGAGAAGTGAATGGATACAGCTGGGGGCACACGGTGGGTGCGGCTGCTGAGATTGGGAGTGGTTGTGTGTTACATAGTGTCTGACCTATTCAGATCTGTCTCTAGAAAAGGAAGTATGTGTACTGCTTTCAAGAACAGCAGGCAGCTACTATTAGAGATTCCAAGAATTCCACTATATATATAAATGGACATCCAAGTGTGTCACATAGGAATTAGGATTGCCTGATCCATCATGTTTTTCTGAACACACATTGAATGACCCCATACCAAATGTGGTAAAAACAAAATGGGCCATTCAGACTGGAAAATCTGGACGTTTGTTTACAGCATTTATAGTAACACTCCACTGCCCACATACAAAAATTATTATTATTTTTTTTAAAAACAGTTTAGTGGATATACCCCAAATTAAAACTGATGCATTTAATTGTGCATTTTTTTCATTGGGTATATCTAATAACCGCATACAAAAGCTGCAGATCTCTTGTTTGAAGTCTTTACTAGCCGTCCCCTTCTTCCCAGCAGAGGCTTTCTGTGGCTGTCCAATTACAGACTTTCCAGTGCAGCTAATCTGCAAGGCAATTGCCTTGGTCTTGCGTTTAGCTCCTCTGAGCTAACCATACCAAGAAGTAACTTGACCTGTTGTTTGCTTGAAAGCCATGGGATGTTACAAGGCTAATTTATAAAAGTACCAATTTCTATTTAAATATACACTTTTTGTAAAATGAAAAAAGCATTTCATCAAGTTAAAGTGCTTTAGGGTTTTTAGTGTCATCTTAACAATGATCAGATTTAAAAAAATCCAAACAGTTTGCACACTAGCAGCCAATAGCAGGGCAAATAGTTAAAGGACCACTATTGGCACCCAGACCACTTCAGCTCAATGAAGTGGTCTGGGTGCCAGGTCCATCTAGGGTTAACCCTGCAGCTGTAAACATTTACAATAGGGTTAATCCAGCCTCTAGCGGCTGTCAGTGAGCACTTCCGCACTTCTCACTGTGAAAATCACAGTGAGAAGACGCTGGACGTCCATAGGAAAGCATTGAGAAATGCTTTCCTATCAGCGGTTTAAATGCGCGTGGGGCTCTTGCTGTACATGCGCATTCAGACATCGGAAGAGGGAGGAGAGTTCCCCAGCGCCGAGGGAGCCCAGCGCTGGAGAAAGGTAAGAGTTTAACCCCTTCCTCCCCCTTCATCCCGGCGAGAGTGGGAACCTGAGGGTGGGGGGGACCTAAAGACCATATAGTGCCAGGAAAACTAGTTTTTTTCCTGGCACTATAGTGGTCCTTTAACCCTCAGATGGTGTGATGTTTAAAAGTTAAAAAAAATGTCTATGCAGGACAATATGAAACCCATATTACTATAAGAGAGGTATTATTAACAGTGAGCCAGCTGCTACACACTGATAATAAAACTTACTGCAACAGGCCCCACCCCATGGGTATAAGACCTGTAAATGACCAAGGGGAAGACCTAAGAATGGTCTCTTGCCCATGTAATTCAGGTGGGAGCTAAAATTCAGGGGCAGATCACTACCCACCCCCACACCTGTCTGTAGGCAGTGGCTGGAGGCTCTATAATAATCTGTTGTGGGGCATGTCTGTTTCCCCAGACCTCTCTTGTGGGCAGCTGGTGAAGGCCCTAAAATCAATGGGTACAGCCGCTGAAGGCGAATCATGGTGGAGGAAAACTTGGTATTGGTGTGGGTCTAAGGTAAAAGACCAGTAAAGCAACCCAGAAAACATCCTCCCAATGAAGTGCTCTGGGTGCAGTGGTCCTTTCATTGTAACCCTGTAAAACATTGCACTTTTGTAGAAATGTCTAAGATTACATTGCAGAATTTAAGACCCCTCTAGTGGTTATCTTCCTGGCAGACACTAGAGGTGCTTCCTTCTCCAGACCCGAGCCATACTCTGTCCTGGAATCAAATACTGCTGATTGCATTTGATTGAAGGATTGCTGCATTTGCCAGACCAATCCATATAAGTTGCTGACATCACCAAAGACGGAGCTGGGGCTGTAGCAGACGAGTCCCGGGGATGAAAACAGGTTTTTGTTTTTTTTAAAGGGAAGGGGACCATACCAGCAAGGGTTGCTACAACCAAAAACCTTTAAAGGATCACTATAGGGTCAGGAACACAAACATGTATTTCTGACCCTGTAGTGTTAACACCACCATCTAGCCCCCCTGGGCCTCTCATGCCTCCATAAATATAGTAAAAATCTTACTGTATTCAAGCCTGAAGCTGTAAATCTGCATGCTGTTAGACTCAGAAAAACAAGCAGTCTGCTGACATGTGGTAGCCTGATCCAATCACAGTGCTTCCCCACAGGATTGGCTGAGACTGACAAAGAGGCAGATCAGGGGCAGAGTCAGCATGATTCAAACACAGCCCTGGCAATCAGCATCTCCTCATAGAGATTAATTGAATCAATGAATCTCTGTGAGGAAAGTTCAGTGTCTGCATGCAGAGGGAGGAGATACTGAATCACAGGATGTTGTGCACAGTGCTGCCCTGTGCTCTGCTAACAGCGGATCTGAGTGGATGGAGGCATATAATGACTCCATCAACTCCGAAGTTCCTCTGGTACACTCTGAGTGACTGCAACTGGAGGTGTTCCTAGCTTTCAATATAAACACTGTATTTTCTCAGAAAATACAGTGTTTACATGAGAAAGGCTGCAGGGAGCTATAGTTCTCACCTGAACAACCTCATTAAGCTGAAGTTGTTCAGGTGACTATAGTGTCCCTTTAATCCCTTCATGCTGCCACTCCATGCAGCCATACCCCACAATCATGTATAAACTATTTTAAACACTGCAAATGAAATTCTTCCTGCAGATGCTCCCATCAGTGTCAGTGTACCAAGAGTGTGTTTGTGTGTAGAGTTTCTTTCAAATGCAAAGGTGTATATATATGCAATGTTTGTGTTTGAATGCTGAGGTACATTCACGGATACATAAACTGAGACACGTAATACAGATACACAGACACACACACAGATATACACACTGAAACACACATACATTCAGACACAATATTCATATTTTAGCAAGCCTCCTACATCCATACTTTGGGTTTCTCTGGGGTGAGCTGGCTGAGGCTGCAAGGTGAGGGCTAGAGCATTTGGTGGTGGCTGGGGGGAGACAGCTAGGACAGCTGGGGTTGATGGGCAACCACTCCTCTCTCTGTCTGCTCACTTCTGTGCTGTGCTTTGTCACCTGTGAGGAATCGAAATGTGATCACTTCCAAGGCCGGACTGGCCCACCAGGATATTTCCTGGTGGGCCAGCATACTAGTGCGTACCGACCCATGGGCCGCACACAGCGCAATTACAGTGTGACCGGCAGGCGTGGATGCACTCACCTCCTGCCAGTCACAGAATGTAGCATGGTTGAGCAGCCAGACCACGGTAGAGGAACTTCTGTTCCCCTACCCGGTCTGACAGTAAGTGCTCACAGAAAGCACATCCTGTCAGACCGGGTACAGTGAGCAGGAGCTCCTACACCATGGTTTGCCTGCTCGGCCATGCTACAGCAAGGTGGGGGGGACCGGGGGAGAACTAATGGGACACAGGGACAGCTGGGGGGGACGGGCTAATGGGACACAGGGAGACCTGGGAGGGGAGAACTAATGGGACACAAGGAGAGCTGGGACACAGGGAGAGTTGGGGGTGGGGAACTAAATGGATACAGGGAGAGCTGGGACACAGGGAGAGCAGGGACACCGGGAGAGTTGGGGGGGACTGATGAGACACAGGGAGAGCTAGAGGGGGAACTAATGGTACACAGGGAGAGCTGGGGGGGAGGACTGATGGGACAAAGGGAGAGCTGGGGGGACTGATGGGACAAGGGAGAGCTAGATGGGGAACTAATGGGACACAGGAAGAGCTAGAGGGGGAACTAATGGGACACAGGGAGATCTAGAGGGGTAACTAATAGGACACAGGGAGATCTAGAGGGGGGAACTATCTCTTTGAGGAGATGCTGATTGGTGCGGTGAAGCGCAGCATTTTGCCACACGTGCAATAGCCGCCCAATGCTTTCCTATGGGAATTGAATTGGCATTGACTGAAATGTATCCAGTTGTAAGACAAAGTGAAGAGTACACTCTTATTACTTAAAAAGAAACCAAGATAACATTTTTTTTTAATTTTTTTACTGCTGTGCAGTAGCATACATTCACAATTTCCTTCTAAATGACAAAACATGTCTTAATATATCAAGAAAATTGACTGAAACATTGATTATATGCAAATGCAGGTCTGCTTACAACAAATCCACGCTTTTGTTTATTTTGAAGCCCTATGAGTGCTTTCTTTCACGTTTGAGTGATCGTTTTCAGTTTTAAGGTTTTTTTTCTCCCCCACTTCCATATCTGCACACTATGCTGGCGCGATGCATTATGGGGCTGGTGTGAATTTTTTTCCAGGGCTGCTTTTCATGCCAGTCCGGCCCTGGGTACATGTCACAGGCTCTTCATCCTTGCGAGTATCTGGACAGTTGCACTGGCTGGACTGTTGTTCCACCCTAGGCAAGGAGCATAAAGCCTGGTTTAGGTCTGTGAGCCATTTTCATGTGCTGTGCATTTTAGATTTTGCTTGGCAACATAATAGATAGTGCTTATTGTTTATGCTTGCTAAATTACTTGCAATTTAAATGTATTTTTTAACACGATTGGGCGCTCCCTGCAACAAAAAACGTACCCTCCTCCAGGGCCATCCTTAGTATTGACTGGACCCTGGGCAACCATTTGCTTGGACCCCCTGGGTCCTACCCCCTGCCAGACACACACACACTGACAGACATACTGACAGACACAGATACATACACTGACAGACATACTGGCATACACAGACATACTGACATACAGAGACACATATACTGACAGACACAGATACATACACTGACAGACATACTGACACAGACCGACACATACACTGATAGACATACTGACACAGACAGACACATACAATGAAAGGCATACTGACATAAATTTACACTGTTAAACCTCCCATTGTTTTCTTTCTGTGTATTGGTCCTTCAAAACATCACAGGTGTGCTTGGAATGTTTACAGACCTTTACTGAGTTCACATTCAGCATTCCATTACCTTTAACTCGCGTCTGTTATTTATATATAAAAATTACAGGTCCGTAATTATAGGCAGTACTTCCAAAAACATAGACCAATGGAACCTTACAATCCACCCCCCACCTATCCTTGCTGCTTACCTTCTGAGTGATACTTAGGTAATGCGGTGTTCTTGTTTTTTCCAGTAAATAAACTTTACAGCTTTTTATATGGACACCATAATCTCATAAAATAAATTTTTTTTTTCCAACTATGTTTTCCCTCTTTAATTCATACATACAGTATCTTCTGTCTCTTACAGGTGTCCTAATCACAAATGTACAGAGCCTTTCCATTCAAAGTTTTCTTTCGTATTTCAACCCACATGGGCAAAACAACCAATGAAATCTTGACAACTGTATTCATTACTTTTCATTTTTCCTCAATACTGCCACTGGAAACACTGAATATACAAGAGGCAATAGTTTGGTCCAAACAGTAAGACCAGTGAGCACACAAAAAGAGTGCATGTTTAGTGTGGACATTTCAATAAAACATTGTGTAAACGTGAGCAGGTGTGTTCTTACCTTGGAGGATGGCTTCCCCGGTGTCCAGTCTGTCCCGGTGTCCAGTCTGGAGGCTGAGGCTCTCCCGGCCCAACCCCCCTCCTCCCTGCCTCCTCCGTCTTCTGCGCTGCTGCTTTCCTTAGTGGGAGGAAATTATTTGCGGCTGTCACTTCCTCCCACTGAGGAAGGGCCCAGTCGCACTGTTAAAGTGCCACAGTGTGTGACCGGGCCACTGCTTACAAATGCCCACCCAGGGGACTTCTTTACTGTGTGGTCCGCCTGTTGCGTCGGCAGGCCCGTGGGGAAAAACATTGTTGAGGGCATCGGGGCCCACGAGGCAGCTGCTTTGGGCACCCCAAGAGAAAAGGGCCCGTTTAGGGGGATGCTTTACAACCAAGGCATTCCCCTTGCAGCCAATCCCATTGAGCCAAATCATGTGGTCACAATGACCGCACGATTACATGACTTGGATTGGCGTGATTGACAGATTGACTGACTGACAGCTTGGGTTGTCAGACAGATCCCCCAACATATAATTAATAAAACCATATAATTATGTAACAATAATAAAGAAGTGTATCTTGATAATATATATAATTCACAGTTAAAATGATCAATGCAGAACTTGGAAAATTACAATGCCTTAATTTCTCTCTCTCTCTTTTTTTTTTTTTTTTTAAAGATTTTATTCATATATAATTATGTTTCATATATAAATATTTTATGTTAAATGAAAGCCCTATTTCTCCTGAACAAAATCATATATAGGAAGTGGAGGTGCACTTAATATGAAAGAGGTAAGTTATGGTTGAACAGACATATAGTTCAAGTTCCGGGTTTTGTTTTGGTCAGAACTTGGACAATTTCCTCCATCCTTAAGTGATTAAGCAATGCATTGTGTGAGCAATGAATGTGCTATTGGTAAAAGATTAGATAGTAGTAAATTTTACTGCAGTTTATTCATCTTGGTCATAACATCCTTGTGTTTGTTTATGTTGCAATTATTCCGATTTGTACATTATTAATCATGACCAAGTAGGAAGGCAACATGACTTCCTCAAAGACAAAGACCCCTGGGGCATTGAAAGTTTAATTTACTAAATACTGAATAATGGGAAAAGTGTTTAGTAAATGCATATTTTTGTATAATGATATATTGTATATAAATTAAATTATAATTAAAAATGTGTTACTAAATATTGTTTTGACTCCAAAACATAAATCTACTCATGGCTATTGCACATACTCTGGGCCAGATTTACATATCAGTGGCACCGAATTCTAAGATGCCCCCTCGGTAATGTGACAGGGGTTATTGAAACAGTGATGGAGTAATGTGACTAGGCTTGAGGTGATTATATTATGGGCTTGGGGTAGTGTGATTGGCAAGTTAGGAGGAGATTAGAGTGTTGAGGGATTTATAGGGATGGGGTAAATGGCTTATGGAAGCTCATATATGAGCAATGCCTAAGAATTTATGTAGTCTAGAGCTTTCTCTTACAGTGTATTTGTATGCATGAATGCAAGTTTGAATTTGTGTGGGTAGTGTCAGTAAATCGGGCTGGATTAACATAGGGGCTTATGGAGCTGCAGCTCCAGGCCCATGCCCATTGATTAGGGTTTTCACCTGGCTGGTATTTTACAGGCACAGCCAGTATTTGAGGGGCTGTCTGGAAGGTGCCTGACACTGACAATACAAATGCTGGTATTTTTCTCAATAGAAACAGAGATTACGATGCAATACCAGCACTGGCCAGTAGAGGTCGCGAGGCAGGGATAGGAAGTTCCAGCATATCCCTCCCTGCCTATCTCTACTCACTGATCTGCAGGGGAGCAGCCACAGAGAGTACAGACAGCAACCAACTTGCACCCTGCAGAGACAGACTACAGCTCAGGGAAGTGAGGGATGGGGACAAGGCTGCAAGGAGACATGAGGGCACTGTGAGATATGGGGACACCATGTCACCATGTCTTCCAGCCAGTGTCCCTAGTGTCTGTGTCCCCTATTTTCCTAGTGTCCCCATGTCTCCCAGTGCCCCAAGTGTCTCAATGTCCCCATTTCTCTCAGTGTCCCCAGGTCTCCCAATGTCCCCTGTCTCAGTGTCTATATGCCTAACAGTGTCCCCATGTATCTGTGTTCCTAGTGTCTTTGTGTCCCCAATGTCTCCCAGTGCCCCAAGTGTCCCCAATGTCTCCTAGTGTATGTCTCCCCATGTCTCCCAGTGCCCCAGGTGTCTCAATGTCACCATGTCTTCCAGCCAGTGTCCCTAGTGTCGTGTCACCATTTCTTCAAGTGTCCCCTATTTTCCCAGTGTCCACATGTCTTCCAGTGTCTGTTTCCCCATGTGTCTCAATGTCCCCATTTCTCTCAGTGTCCCCAGGTCTCCCAATGTCCCCTTTCTCAGTGTCCACACGCCTCCCAGCGTCCCCATGTCTCTGTGTTCCTAGTGTCATGGGGACCTGGGGAGACATGCATTAGGGGACTCTGGGAGACATGGGGATACTGGAGGACACAGGGAGACATGGGGACACTAGGCTACATGGAGACACAAGAGGACACTTGGAGACATGGGGCACTGAGACACTGTGATACATAGGGACACTGTGAGACCTGGGGTAATCGACACATGGGGACACTGAGTCATGAGGGCACTGGGAGACATGGAGGCACTGGGAGACTAGGGGACACTGAGACACTGGGCGACATGGGAACACTGGGCGACATGGGGACACTGATACATAGGGACACTGAGACAGTGGGAGACAGGGAGACACTGGGGGACAAGGAGACACTGGGAGCAACCCATCTATACAGTAGAATCAAACCGTAAGTATTTTTTTTGGTGATTTTACAGCATTTTCTCTTATGTCACTCCTTGTGATTTACATCATGTGATGACACCCATCAGGCCCGGACTGGAAAAAATTTTTTTTCCCAGGCATTTTTCATTCACAGCTGCCCCCTGAGAAGGGAGCAGGGCCAGAGAGGGTGTGTTTTATCATCCCTAATGACAAGCACGCCCCCTCTCAAAGTGAGCATGTTGGTTCAAGGCGCAGAGCACTGCTGAAGAGCTCTAGCATTGCTTGTGGTGTGGTATTGTGTAGATAGGTCGATTTCATTTGTGTGTGTGTGGTGTAATATGTGTGGCTAGGGGTTGTAGAGAGTGTGTTTGTATAGGGGGCATAGTGTGTATTGGGGATGTAGCGAGTGTGTGCATACAGGCTGTAGTGTGTGTAGGGGTTGTAAAAAGTGTGTGTTTAGAGAATGTAGTATGTGTTTGCTTACAAGGAATGTAGTGTGTGCATAGGGACCCAGAGTTTGTATTTCAGGAATGTAGTGTGTGCAGGTGGTGCAGTGTGTGTATGTGTGTGTGGGGGGGAGGGGGAATCTAGTGAGTAAAGGACCCAGAGTGTGTATAGGAGATTGTGTGTGTGTGTGTGTGTGTGTGTGTGTGTGTGTGTGTGTGTATATAGAGGATTCAGAGTGTTTATAGGGATCTAGTCTGTGTATGTGTGTAGATTAGATGACCCAGAGTTGGGTAAGGCATCAAGTATCCCAATTTCTCAGTGTCCCCGTGTCCCCATGTGTCCCCTAGTCTCCCATTACCCTTATGACTCAGGGTCCTCATGTGTCAATTACCCCAAGTCTCACAGTGTCCCTATGTATCACAGTGTCTCAGTGCATCATATGTCCCCATGTCTCAGTGTCCCCTAGTGTCATGTCCCCAGGTCTCCCAGTGTCCCTATGTATCACTGTGTCTCAATACCCCATGTTGCCCAGTGTCCCCATGTCTCCCTATGTCCCCCAGTATTCCCATGTCTCTCAGTGTCCCCTAGTGTCTATGTCCCCATGTCTCCCAGTGTGCCCTAGTGTATGTGTCCCCATGTCTCCCAGGGTCCCCATGACACTAGGACATTAGGAACACTGAGCGATATGGGGAAACTGTGAGACATGGGGACATTGGGAGACCTGGGGACACTGAGAGAAATTGAGACACTTGGGGACACTGGCTGGGACATGTGGGGACATGGGGGACACCAGGGACACTGGGAGACATGGGGGACACGGACACACCAGGGACACTGGGAGACATGTGGACACTGAGACACTAGGGACACTGGCTGGGAGACATGTGGACACTATGTCCCTTGTGTCTCAGTGTCCCCATGTCTCCCAGTGCCTCCAAGTGTATCTGTGTCCCCAAGCTTTAGGATGTCTCTGCAGGGTGGGAGTTGCTGTCTGGACTCTCTGTAGCTGCTCCCCTGCAGATCAGAGAGTAGAGATAGACAGGGAGGGATATGCTGGAACTATTTCCACACTCACAGCGACCCCTACTGGACCGTAATTCAAGATTTCTTGCACTGTAATTCAAGATTTTCCTAGTCTTGACGTCAGAAAATATAGATTTTATTAAAGACAGGAGGCGAGTATTATGCATTAACTTTCTTTACTTAACTCCAGCATCAAAGAAATTTTTTCAATAAAGTTTAGTGAATAAAAAAAGATAAAAATAACAGAGTAACTGAAATGGAACATTTGGTAGCCAATCAGCATCCAGCATAGTCTATATAGTGAATGATCCCCAATATTCTTCCTCTTTCGAGCTACGAATCTAGAAGAAGTGTCTAGTAGAGTAACTCCAAGGATAATAATGATGAAACTCCAAACAGGATTAAGCTGAAATATAAATAACAGCGTGGGTTAATGGGAGGGATAATACTCGCCTCCTGTCTTTAAAGGACCACTCTAGGCACCCAGACCACTTCAGCTTAATGAAGTGGTCTGGGTGCCTGGTCCAGCTAGGGTTAACCCATTTTTTAATAAACATAGCAGTTTCAGAGAAACTGCTATGTTTATGAATGGGTTAAGCCTTCCCCTATTTCCTCTAGTGGCTGTCTCATTGACAGCCACTAGAGGCGCTTGCGTGCTTCTCACCGTGATTTTCACAGTGAGAGCACGCCAGCGTCCATAGGAAAGCATTGTAAATGCTTTCCTATGAGACCGGCTGAATGCGCGCGCAGCTCTTGCCGCGCGTGCGCATTCAGCCGGCGGGGCGTAACGGAGGAGGAGAGGAGGCAGAGAGCTCTCCTCCCAGCGCTGGAAAAAGGTAAGTTTAAACCCCTTTCCAGAGCCGGGCGGGAGGGGGACCCTGAGGGTGGGGGCACCCTCAGGGCACTATAGTGCCAGGAAAACGAGTATGTTTTCCTGGCACTATAGTGGTCCTTTAATAAAATCTATATTTTCTGACATCAAGACTAGGAAAATCTTGAATTTTTTAACACGACAGGAGGCTCGTATTATGCATGTTCAAATCTAAATAGTCATAATATAAAAATACAGCAGACGTTATTACAATATTATTTTTGAAACATGCAGGCTAGGTCTAAAATAAAACTGAAAATGTAGATTCTGAAGACCAATCTGCAGTTTTTAACAGATCTGATAAAGAGCCTCCTGCTTGAAACACTTTAGTAGTCATAGCTCCTCTTGATGAGTAAGCTCCAAACACTGAAATATCAATACCCGCCATAGATATAGTTTGTCGTACCCATCTGGCTAAAGATGTAGAGGAGACAGGCAGAAAGGGTTTACGAAAAGATTAGTAATTGCAAGAAATTAGAATTTCGAATTAATGAGGTTTTAAACTCATATGCTTGAAGACAACTAACAACACATAAAAGAGGATGGTCAGAAAATGAAGGATAGAATACAGTGCGGGGATTAGTTTTGGTACATCTAACAATAGAAAAATGAACACCATCAGGAGTATAATCTCTATTATTTAAGTCTAAAGCCTTAACGTCAGAAACTCTTTTAAAAGAGATGAGACATAGTAATGTGGTAAGCTTAAACGAAAGCAATTTTAAGGATGATGAGTCATTGGCACCCCATGATTCTATTAACTGGAGTACCAGAGTAACATCCCAGGTAGAATTATATTTAGGGCATGGGGGACTTTTAAATCTGATACCCTTCATAAGTCTGCCGACTAAAGAATGCTTACCCACAGGGAAAAATTCAATAGGGTTGTGATTTGCTGAGATAGCAGATCTATAGACATTAATGGTGCGATAAGCTTTCCCTGAGTCAAAAGAGGCTGACAAAAAATTTAGAATGTTTGCTAAAACTGAATGTATGGGATCCACTGCCCGTTCCATGCACCAATTAAGCCAAGTTTTCCAGGCTGATCTGTAATTTGCACGGGTTCCCGGTGCCCATGCTTCTGAGAGAATGTCTCTAGTAGTGTTTGAAAATTCACTATGAGATTCGAGTGACCCGAGATGAGAGATGCAGTCAGAGGTAGTTGGCCTGACAGCACCAAAGGATGAAAATTTCCCTCCGGATCGCGAAGAGAATCCCGAAGTATCTGTATGAGTCGTGGGTAGTCTATCAGCATACTGAGAAGCTGATTGAACCATGGTTGTGATGGCCAGAGAGGGGTTATAACTACTAAGGTCGATTTCTGAGACCATGCTTTCAGAAGTAACCGGGATATCATCATTCCGTCTTTCCAACATTGGAGGAAAGCATCTTGATCTACTGCTTCCAATCCGGACGCCAACTGAAAAATGTTTCTAGTTGGCGATTGAGTCATGATGCAAAGAGGTCGTATTGAAATGGACCCCACAGGGCAAGTAGTAGTTGGAAGATATTGGGATCCAACATCCAGTTGCTGTAATCCACTAGGAAATGGGAATTCCAATCTGCTACTGTATTGGAAAGGCTGGGAAGGTATTCTGCTCGTAACGTTATGTTTTGATTGAGGCAAAAGTGCCATAATTCTTTGGTAATGTCCGCCAGTTGCTTGGATTTTGTACCTCCTAAGCGATTTATATATTGGACTGCTGATATGTTGTCCATCTTGAGAAGGATACAACAATGGGATTTGTGTTTCGCAAAACTGCGTAGAGCGAAAAACCCTGCCATCAGTTCCAGGCAGTTTATATGCATATTTGTCTCTTCTAGAGACCATTTGCCTCCTGTGGAATTGCCTCCACAACGGGCTCCCCAGCCTAATCGACTTGCATCGGATTCTATAGTCGGGTCTGGGAATGACGTGAAAATGGCTTTCCCATTCCAAATTTGAACGTGATCTAACCACCAGAATAGTTCTGTTCTTGTCTCCAAAGTTAGAGAAATCTCATCTGAATAGAGGAGACCGTTGCGTAGATGTTCTCTTTTAAATCTTTGAAGAGCCTGATAGTGAAGGGGGGCTGAAAAGATAGCCTGGATCGAGGCTGATAAAAGACCTATAATCCGTGCTAAAGATCTGATGGAAATGTAATCCCTTTTCAGAACTGACCTGGTCTCTTTCCGAATCGTTTTCAGTTTCCGTGAAGGAAGGCTGAGAGTGGCTAAATTGGAATTCACTAGAAATCCTAAAAATTCTATCTTCTGAGAGTGAGTTAAAATCAATTTTTTGTAATTTATTACAAAGCCAAGGCTTGCTAACAGATTCAATGTCCATTGAGAATGTAGTTGAAGAATTTGCACACTCTGTGACATAATCAATATGTCGTCTAGATAGATTATCATTCTCACTCCCCTGCTTCGAATAGGGATATTACTGGTTTGAGTAATTTGGTGAAACACCAAGGTGCAGAGGATAAACCAAACGGCAATGATTTGAATTGCCATTTCTTCCCCTGCCATAGGAACTGTAAATATTTCTGACATGAGTGGTGAATAGGTACCGTGAGGTATGTATCCTTCAAATCTATTTTGATCAACCAATTGTTGAATATCAATAGGTCTTTGAGGTAATAAATTCCCTCCATTTTGAAATGGTGGTATCTGACAAAATTGTTTAAATATTTCAAGTTTATGACTGGTCTGTGACCAGAATCTTTCTTTTTCACCAAGAATAAATTGCTTATGAAGCCTGGGCTGCTCATGGGCACCTGTATGATGGCATTTTTTGAGCATAAACTTAATATTTCTTGATGCACCAGGGCCTGGTCTTGGGTCAAAAAATTTATCGGGACAGGTATGTTTCTTTGGACGGGGCATGATATAAAATCTATTTTGTAACCTAGAACCGTGTCTAGTATCTATGCATGTGCATGGGGAAAATTTTCAGTTCGGTTCGGGATTTTCGCAATTCGGGACTTCGGCAATTCGGCATTTTGGGACTTCTTTTGCAGCTGCTTAGTAAATAACTCCCTAATTCCCACGGTATTAGGGAGTTATCTACCAAAAGGCTGCAAGACCTAAATTTACAAAAAAATGATTTTAACTCACTCTCAAAAGATAGAATAATAATAATAATAATAATAATGAGGGGATGGGGGGCAAAGAGTCACTATAATAAAAAAGGAATGGGGAAACATAGTGTCCTCTCGCATCTATGGTCAGCAGGTCACATCCATGTTCTCAAGTCCCGCATGGGTGGCTAGTGGCACTACATTGCCAATATACAAAAATAAATAAATCGCGGTTTAGTAGATACACCCCAAATGAAAGCATGCAAGCTTTTAATTATGCTTTTTTCCATTTTTCCAAAAGCTGCAGTTCTCTTGTTTGCAGCCGTTGAAAGCCCCTTC